CATCTTGCAAGTAACCACACAATTTAATTTGATTATGAAAATGGAATTTGCACGCGATTCTTTAAAAGTACCCAAACAGCGGAAACAAGTAATCTCGTTAATGGTCTGAATGAGATGAATGCATAACAAACCATTTAAAGTAATAAAATAAAGTCTCATAGGTTGCGCCGAATCTAGATCATAGTATAAATTAATACACATAAATTAATATTGATATGCCCTATATACAATCAAGTTTAAGTTTGATGCATTTTTGAAGAAAATTAACCACATATGGATCATTTCTAAGGCACCAAATATGGATCCACTGAGTTATACTTGCCTGTTTCTTTAAGTTTAGTGAGAATCCCCTTTCTCTGGGAGATATACTGACGATTCCCCACAGTGGAATGAAGAACTGGATCTTTGATTGTCTATTAATTTAACTCTTCACTTAGTAGATAAATTTTTTTCATTTCATTTCTGAGAGGAAACTTCGAAATTTTCAGCTGTAGAATACTTAGCCTTCGAATTGAAATATTGGAAGATTGCTTCTTTGAAATTTAAATTCTTCTATTAATCTTTCTCGTAATTACGGATGTTGGTATTTTCAAATGTGAATTGAAACGTTAAACCCAAAAATTCGGTTACTCGGCTTAACTCGTTACGTTTTTTGTTACGTTCATGATTGTCATTTGGTTACCAGTTCAGTAATATGTTAATAATTTTCCCCCTAACTTATCTACAGTCCTATTTGACAATATTCAAAAGGATCAACTTTCACCTCAGTTCAGGGATCCTAGCTTGTTAATGCCACTCCAACGAATCCAGCAAAATGTCCACGGAAATTAGTTGGCTATGTTGAACATGTAGATTTGAATCAACTGCTTTATCAAACTTATTCTAGCATTTGAATGACTTAGTTACTGACTATGAAAAATTTTTAAATAAATGAACGAATTTTCACCGAAAAACTGGTATTCATACTTCCAATAACTGATTCAAATCAATGACATGAACTCTCGCATTTTTCGTTTCATTTTCAGTTCATCTGAATTGACGCCGTAATCCGTTAAAGACAATATCTGAAAGTACAACAATGTCAATATTCTACGGCCTTCTTTAATTTCAAGATGCTACATATAGTAAATATTTCCTTAATAATCTAAGGAGAGCGCACAGCAGTGAGAGCTCTTTAAGTAGAAGCTTCTCCTGGCTACACTGGGTCAGCAGCAGGGATAACAGGAGAGATTAGGCAGCAAAAACTTTCCAGGACAACAGGTACTGGCCTCCAGAAAGGGGTCAGTGAGGCCTGCTTGTAAGAGAGAGAGCTTTAAAGAGCCTCAGATTATTCCCGTGAAAATGGAGGCTGGTCAGGACAATGTCGTGTACGCTGTGGTCCATGCCATGTCTCGCTTACACTTGCCATGCTCGCACACTGCAGTGCGATCAATCTGCGATAATCTGCGATTAAGATTGAGAGTGAATAGATTACTTGGTCCTCTCAGGCAGATAAGGCATCGATCGCCATGGCTCTTGCTTGTGGTGTTGATATTTAATTATTCTCTTTAATTTTGATCTATAATTAATTAACACAACAAACACTGCATACTATCTGCCTTAGTACTTGTATCGACCCCTATATGTTGCTGGCCAGAATCGTGCAAGTCAATTTTTGTTACATAGAATTGCGTTCGGATATAATTTCACAAGTGGATCAGAAATTTCACCCGAAATAAGGAGACTCTTATATATTTGCTTCAGCTCAACAATATAAATTTTAGTGCATTATCATTATTTATTGTTGTCTCTCCTGATTTGACTCTCAAGCAATCTACCTGAATGATATTTTAAATTGTTCACTTTTATGCCTGTGGTTGTTGTGCTAGACACAACCACTATAACCGCGGCATCGTGGAAATAAAAAATAACTCACTTGAAGAAAAATATGATATTTTTCGACGTAATGCGTTACCTTTTTTTAGATTTTTAAAATTCTGGTAATTCAGCTTTAGAAATTCAAAGCGTATTTTCTCAGTTATTCTCTTGATTTATCTACCTCGGTTGAAACAATCAGTCTGTCATCATCGAATAGAACTTTTTTACCTAAAATTTGTTGCAAATTATACATAAATTACGGCCACACCCTCAATAAAACTACTCTCCCGCCACTATACTCCTGAATTTTAATAAAAGGTATAAGCTTCGCAAGTAGAAGCTTTGATGGATAATAAAAACAGGCATGTTAAATATGAGTCCACAAATTTTGTTTTCCGAATTTCATGTCGGGTTGAAATATACTTAAGGTGATGAATAAAGAAATACCCTGTAAAGTTGTTAACGCGTAGAACTCGAGACACTGAAAATCAAGAATAATTTTCATCATCTAGCTATCGATAATCGACTTGTAATTAAGAAAAAATCATTGAAAATATTCAGTCATCGGTGGAAATGTAATCTATAAAAAGTGAAGTTCATATTCACAAAAGAATCCAATACGTATTTTTAATATTTGACATTGAAGCTTGTACTTTTTTGCAAGGTTCGACTTCTGATTTCGCTTCAAGATTTTAAACATAATCCTAACATTTTCATCCAACAAGACAGTTTTCCTGAGCCTTTTTTTCCTTCCTCTGATCTTAGTGCAATGTTTGCTTTTAGATCTGTGAAAATTAGTCAACACATTTTTCTGCTGCATTTTTGGCTGTGCAATGAGTCAGCACCGCAATGTTTAAATTCTGAAAATTTGGTTACTTTCCGCTGCCGGCGGCTCTTACATGAAGCTCATAAAAGCTAAAACCTGTATTCAAATTTTAGAGACAACTTAGGAGTTTAACTCACAGTGCGGCGCAAGGAAGCAATATATGCAATACTATCTGTCCAAGGAGTGTAAAACCTCAGTCCACTCTAATCCATTATTCACATAGAGTGTGAGTGATAACCCTCGCCCCCCCAGAGTACATGGAGTTTAAGGTCATCTGTGGGTATTGGTTTATTGGGGTGTGGCTAAAATGAGAGTGGAGTCCAGCAGATGAATGAAAATTTATGTTACAAATGCCAGCCATCACAAAGTAAACGCATGATACCGCTGGAATTATTGTCCATCTGCAATTGAAACTTTGACTTGACTCATTGTTTTTGCTCGGTCCTCAGTCAAATCCCGTGCAGTATTTTGACGGATTGAATAAATAAGCATTTATTCAATCGTTAATGTGGGTATTCACCAGACCACGAGAAGCGACAAGAAGAGGACTAATCATACAGAACTCCAACCTAGTACACCAAGCTTTTCAGAAAATGTTTCTTGACCACCAATCTCCTTACCGTATAATATCCGACGCTGATAGAATAGAATAGAATAGACTAGAAGTGTCGGCGTTGAAGAAATAGGCCCATGGCCTGTTGCCGATTCTTGAACTTTTCGTGACTTGATTCACAAGGGATCCGGCCTATTTATTCAATCGTTAATGTGGGTATTCTTCATCAGACCACGAGAAGCGACAAGCAGACGACTAATCATACAGAACTCCAACATAGTATACCAAGCGTTTCTGAAAATCTGTTTCTTGACCACCAAACTCAGTACCGTATCATATCCGACGCTGATAGTTAGACTATACATGCCCGTATGTAAACACGCATCCCTGGAGTTACGTGCGAACATGGCGTCAAGGCTGACTCGCTCATGGCTGCTGCATACATATACGATCAACTTTGCATACTTCAGATGCACGTGAGTAACGATGATGACATCATTTTCTCAAGTTTCATCAGAGTAACCGGATCAAAAGAAGTGCAGTGTGGCTACGTACATTAGAATTTCCTCCTTGCTGCGTGAAGACAGCCAATCACATATATCAACAGCTATGCAACTGACTGCTTTTTTCGACCTCTTCTTATGGACATTGATAGTTTGTGATGGTATTATGATCGTGGGCGGCTGACGCGTGATTACCAGGCATTTAGTAAGAATATTAGCATAGATCTTTAGAAGAAGTACATATTCGATCAGATGTTCCCATCTGCAGAGGTTTTCCTAATGCAAGACCCAGAGACCGCGGCTTTTCATGACCACAAACATCGTAAGTTGAATTAGGAAGAGAATGGCAAACGCATAAGCAGTGCCTGCATTTAGTGTCATATAACAAAAAATTGAGGCATTCTGGCTATCTTCTTTTCAGATTAGCTTCATTTGGTATCATAGTTGTCAGTCTATCTTCGGTGGTAATTTTGGAAGACGATGTTGCCCAGCTGCAACTTCTTGAAAATGAACTTGTCAGGCCTGACAGTACTCACTCGCTGCAGGTATTACAGAGGCACACGCTGTGCTACGACACCTATGAAATTTTTTACGACACACACGGAACCAAACTTTACACGTGTAGTAGAACTAACAGTCAGCAAAAGTATTTTATGAATTAGAAGTATTAAAATCTAATTCATTGATGAGCCTGTGATATATACGAACGTGCGGTGAATGAATTAATACAATCCGTAAGCGCGATACAACTTTATTGAGGGAAAGATACAATTTCCATGAATAAAAGGATTTCCGCATATTCAAGTTCTAAATCTACAGGAACCCAAGTTTCAACGCAAATGCGTGATAAAATCTAACGCAAAATGAACCGATGATCTAAACACAAGCTATCAATAATTAATTTCATTAATACGAAACAAGTTCCATGGTAGATATTATAGTGAATAATACGCACTAGAAATGGGCCTAAACATTGATTAATCTGATTTAGGCGAACAAGCAAGATGAATTCAGTATAATATCGCCGAGCACAGCAGTCTCACAGGAAGCAAATACGATGCAATACACCAGAGAAGCGATAAACAAACTTTATTCCTTTTCAGGAGTAAAGTACAATACCCATACATATATCGGAAAGCAAATGGAGGATTATGTTGAAAACTCTTGTAAATACAATCGCTTTGAATCTGAAAATATTTACTTAGCAAAGAAAGCTCAAAATCACCATATTCTCAGACAAGATCAAATCCGGCGAATAATACTAAGGTTGTGTAGGCCTGTAAATATTTCTTGAGCAAGGCAGCAGCTCGTTCTGGTACACGTTGAGGACGCGGCCAGCAGCGTCCAGTATCGCCGTGTCGTTATGACGAATGTATGCAGCCAGCGCCACGGACCACTCGTTGTTGCGTTCAACGCTTACGTTCTGTAACGTAATCCGATGACAAAGTCAGTTTATTGAATGGTAAAGTGTCCCAAATGAACCACTAGATTGGCAAAAACTGCTATTTGTGTAGTAAGAGGAGGCAATTCAAACTTTAACCTCATAACTAAAATAATATTATCTCAGTATACAAATACAAATTTCGTTGTTACTTTTCCCTTGAATGCTAATTTACAAAGAAGCTAACAATTTCGTCATATTTCTAAGCTGCACTTCCACACACAGGCTATAGATGAATGTATCAACTGATGATATCCTGAGTTAAAGTAATTCATCCGTGTTTTTAATCAATTTAGATAACGAATATTGCAGAATACCTTACCAAATAATATTTTACCGTAAACATAATTGAGTGGAGCTTGTCGATGAGAGTCCAGAATATGGCGGCACTCTTGTAGACGGTCCAGTCTTTGGCAGCTTTGGTGGCCACTTTGGAACCCATTGGCGGTACGGCGGAGACCGACCTCACATGAGCAGTGGCCAGCAGTCGCTTCAGCATTTCCTTGCGCAGCCCACTGTTCCATTTACCGGAAGAACAGACCGCTAACGCCAAAGTTACAAAGAAGTAAGGACCTTCGACTTCGTAAGATGCGTCCACCCAACGCGCAGGGTCTTTAGCGGTAGACTCGATGAAAATCTCCACTCGGCGCTCTTCACGAATGTTAGCCCGAGTACTGAAAATTATAAAAAGAAATTAACAAAATTGTTGTCTTTGATCCTACGAAAGAGTGGTCTGCAGTCCGATAAAGATAATTTCCATCAAAGTGATAAATCTAGAGAACAGGCGACCAGATCAACAATCAAGGTTATCAACACACTATACTATCATTCTTAGCGTATTCATGAATCTTTCTCTGTGTCAAAAGGTCGGCACTGACGTGTTGATGACGTAGAGCGCCATGTGCAAGATGTAAGGCGCCAAATTCATGTTGGACTGAGGGCCGCCTCCACCCGAGTCCTCGCTGAACGAACGCTCACGAGCAAACCTGAGCAGCAGCAGCTTCAGGTCGTGCAGCGTCCAAGTGTAATTGATGTCTCTGTGCGGAGCAAACAATAGGTCGGTTAATATGATTACCCATGACCAGAGGAGTTCTAAAAACACTTGGCCCCTGTTCAAAACTCTTTGTTCAATGAACAGGAATGCAATTTACAGTAGTCAAAAATTGGAATCGCAGAACGAAATTGAAGCAAATGAAAATATTAGCCAAAGAAGCTAAGAGCAATACAAAAATTATTGGGCTTGGAAACTGACCTGTGCATTGTGTACTCTTGCAGGTACGTGTTGTGGCGAGCGAGACAACTGACGAAGGCGCTCTCCGGCACCTGAGGTCCCCACAGCGGCAGGAGACCATTAGCCAGAGTGTTGGCGTTGTGCAGCGCAGCGCTCTCCCACTCGTCCCTTGCCCGTGAAGCTCTGCAAAATAACATCACTCTTCAGATAAATTTACGTATCAAAGCATTGGCTGATTTTCTAATGAATAAATGATATAACTCTAAGTCTAGGAAATGCTAGAATAAACAAGCCGAAAACATGTGTGCAGAGGATAGAAACCAATTTGCATGTCAAGAGCCATTGGAGAAATCTTGTTTTATTAAACTTATCTATTCTAAGCATTTGAAAATGAAATTGAACGAACATGTGGTTTACCATAAAGAGTAAAGAAATCAGTTCATTTATTAAAATCAGCTCAGGGTATAGGAAACGGCATGGTACAAAACGGACTTGACAGCAGCAAGATGGCAGTCGACGTGAACGACATTGAAATGCGAGACGGTGCTGTAGCCGAAAGTTTTATGAGGTTTGTTCTCGCGGTCTTCGACGGCTCGACGTTTGCTGTAGGTGTAGATAGCGAGGACTTTTTGAGGAGCATTGCGGTACCCCTCCAGGCATATGGCGCACACCTTAGGAACAGAATAAACGCTAATAAAACAGTTAAGGATCTCAGAAATGGTAGGATGTTTTATATTCGACAGATGGAACTGGGAATATTTTTAAGGGAATCGACGTTACATGAATTTAGTTGTATAGATACATTTAATGGAATACAGATGGAAGAAAATTTACCAATCCTTGCTCGTCAGTGATGTCAGACATGTGCTGCAACAAGGATGACTTTGAAGTGATTTGTTCTTTTTCATTAGCGCAAAGTCCGAGGCGGTTGAGCTCCTTTGAACGAGTCTTCATCGCCAATCGCTTCTTCTCCTGCCGCGTCTGGCGACGAACTTCGCCAACCTTCAGACATTAATTTAGATGAAGTTTTTCATTAATCATATCCTAGTGCCGCGTTGAATATGAGATCAAATTATTTAATTATAAAACGTAGTAGTAAACGCGGGATCAAATTTATAATTTTGAAATTAGTTTGATGACTCTATAATCAATAGATACAAATATAGTGGCAGCTGCAATATACACTGAATGTGTTTTATATATAATGGGTTATGTAATGGCAATCATACTAAATTAAGAACATTCATGAAAATACAGCAAGCCGCCTAGATACTAAGCTCGTTTAGTCTAGAACAGTAATATACACTAGAAGCCCAGGTTGTACCTGCTTGGCGATGGCAGGATCATCCGTTAGAGCCTCCAGCAGGTTTTCAGCGAGGGAGCCGACGTGTTCGTCAGATGATATTTGCTCAAGACGGTGAATGGCGGGGATACAGGACTCAGCCACAGCGCGTTGGCTGCCGGGGTGTTTACAGGCCATGCCTGAGCAAAGGGTAAACGCTCGATTCAGTTCATGTTTTTTTTTCGATAATGAATTACAGATACTCAAAGTAAGTCAAATGTAAACTAAAATTCGAAGGAAATTTCAATACTTCAATTTTTATTGTAAAATTAGAAAGACTATGAATAAATAGGCAACAATCGTTAACAATTCTTCAATAAACTTTCAGCGTTGAGGAACTGACCAGTGAGAAGGCGCAGGATGTACTTGAGTGAAGGTCGTGAGAGGAAGTCCTTCCATTCGTTGTTGCAAACGACTACAATCTTCTGGTTTTTAGGGATGTGTCGTTCTATGTACGAAATTGCATCCTGCGAACACAATACAATCAAGGCATGAACAAGGAATGGAATGAACTGAATTCTAGTTAAAATCGTAGTTTTCAGGAAAGCACAACAGCGAGTAGTGGTAGATTATGATATTAATATTCAATCAGCAATGACAATGAACTAATAAACAAGCAAAATTCACACGGCCCAAATCTACTCTACGATAAGACTTTGGTGAACAGACCTTGACTATGTTAGCGCGCAGAATCATGTCTTTGAGTTGAGATCCGATCTCACTGCGTTCGATGCCGCTGCAGAATACACAAAAAGACTCCATTTTAGCAGCGTCTTCAGGCGTGTGCTCAACGTCGAAGCGATCGAAATCGAGAATTGGACGGAAGTGTCCGACCAGCAGCTCCATCTTCTCTTTGTGGCAGAATACCAAGAAAGGCAGAACGCGCATCAGGCGTTGCTTTTCCTGTGAACATACAAGACAATATTTTCAGAATAATCGCAGTAGGTAGTTAAATAGTCGCCAAGGCAATGTAACTAGTTTTTCATATTAAAAAATTGCTTAATTAAATTCGGTGGACATTGTTTAAATAAGGCAGCAATTATTTTGTCTCAATTGTACTCAATAACAGAGATCACTCAAATTCAATAAATAACTCAAGGAAAATGGTAATTGGTAACACACCTGAGCGTTAGTGGTGGAGGAAGTGGCGACGTAGTTAAGCAGCAGGTGGATGTCTTCAAGAGTGCCGCAGGTCTCTACCAGCTCAGCATATTCACCAGCAGGCATGACGCAAGCTTCTTCTAGAATGGCTTCGAGGACCTGCAAAATGGTCACATACATCGTCGAGTTTCTAAAATCATCGTCCTACTGCATAAGTAACAATGGCAGCAAGGAGAAAGCGAATATTTTTGGCGCAGTAAAATTAAATGACAAATAAAATTAGTGGCAGCAGCCAGGAATACATAAACTAACCATGAGCAATTGCTCAGTGAAGGTGGGTTGACCGGGAGCCCCAGCGACGACCTCAGGCTCAGCAGCCAGACACTGTTTCAGGGTGTGAAGCAGCACAGCAACAGCGCCCGATGACGGCTGCATCAGCGCAGTTCTGTGATTAACAACGTACAATTATTTTTAAATACTGTAAAACGGAGTGACATGGACAGTTCGACATTCAAGAAAAGAAACCCACAAAAGAAACAAGTAACGTCAAAGGCATTGATGTAAATGTAATAATAATCTAACCTGTTGACTCTAAGTTTGACGCAAAGCTGGAAGAGTTTCAGGAGAACAGTGACAAGAGGTCGGGCGTAGGAGAGATCTGTGATACGCTGCAGGCAGTCGAGCATGGCTTTGAGACCGCCACACTCGGCCATCACAGATGCCATACGGTACACCTGCTCCTTGTCGATGTCATCCTCCTTCTTCTTAACGAGCGTCCCCACAAACTCCTCGGTAGCGTCACCCAGGAGACCACGCATGCGGTACACAATGCGCATATCGTGATTCTCGGGGTTTTCTGCAGCAAGCAAAATAAATGTTGAGAATTTCAACTTGCAACAAGCACAACTTACTATCGGTGAAAAGAATAAAAAAACCAACGTGAAAATAATGAATGAACATAATTAATTATAAAATGCACGTGCAGAAAAACAATGACAATGGAAAATGTTGAAAATGGAAGGCAAACTAAGAAATTAAACGCGAAGCGAATTACTGTCGATCAATACAATGAAAAACAGGAAATGATGAACCCTCTTGACCACATATCCATAAAGGGTGCATCAACAATACAAACAAAGTCTTCGTGGATTATCACATCTGTTCACAATCGCAAATTTTAACCCATAAACAGGTGCGAGAACACACAACTACGTATAGCAATTACGGATAAAATTCTAACATACGCGTCCACAGTACAATCACCGGCATAAATAAGCATTTAACATGAATTGAAAACTACTTTTTCACGGGTCTGATGGTATTATTGAAAAGAATGATCGCTTATATTATGATATAAATAGCACCGTACCTGCAAGCCACATCTTGTAAACGTCGCGCACGGCGAGGTCTAACGAGATGATCTTGTTGGAAACCAGCAGTTCCATGCCATTGTCGTCTTCGAGGAGAGCGACGAGCTCACAATCCTGGCAAATTTTGTTTTTAACGTCCCTCATCCGGGGCCCCATAGCAGGATCCTCACTGCTGTATGGATTGTTGTTCATACGGCCCTGCAGACACATAAATTAACTCGTTAGGAACGCGTCTCACACCGTAAAACTTGCAGCGTAAAGAAAGACTTACAGCGTCTCTTACGCAAGACTTACAGCGTCTCTTACGCAAGACTTACAGCGTCTCTTACGCAAGACTTACAGCGTAAAGAATGAAATATCGACTTGATTATTACAGAAAGATTTGTATAATTTAGCCGATGAGCACGAGGTACCAAAAATTACACACTTGCATCTCAAAAATTAAGTTATATGAAGACAATTTGAAAAGTGCTGCTATGTGCATAACCTAAATAAGTACCTATATAGATGATTAAAATATGCTGATTTTTTGCTCAGCTATATAACAATAACAACAAGGAACAGAAAATGCGTTAGAATAAAACCTCTTCAATTCACTTTGCGTTAGATTTGAAAGCCAATATTTCGTTCTCACACAAATTTAATGATAAAAGACTCGCCTGAAGGAAATCTTCCTGCTGAGGATCCTTTTCGAGAAGCATGAAAAACTCGCCAACGTCGTTGTCTTCAGGATGGATGATGGAGCAGAGCCGCTCAAACAGGAAGACAGGTGTACGCAGATCATCAGCGGGATATTGCTGCACCGTCTCGATACACACCGCCATGAAACGACGAGTTTCTTCTTCTGTGCCTGCATAATAACTGCTCATGTAATAACTCAGTTGTTGGGTTTAATACACAGTAACAGACACGCGTTGCAATTTGATAATAATTTATAGAAAGGAACCGATTAATCATGCTAATAAAGCACAGAAACAAGAACTAGAAAATAAATAAAAGTTGCAGCATGAAGACCGCCTGAACTACTGTAGTGTATGCTGTATTTAAAAAAACTTTATACAGAATTATGAAACGGAATTTTCTTCTTTCTTAAAAGAAGGTAACGAGTGCGAAATTCTCAGGCACCGGAACCAACCTCAACATTGCTAAGGAAGTCTTTTTTAAAGAATCATAAATAAGAAATAACTTGGTCAATGGTGGCTCCATGTATCCATCGGCTTTCAAAATAGCGAATGACCTGTTCAAAATTGCGCACGGAAAATAATGCGCGCCCTAGATAGTCTAAAATTGTATTCAACAAGGAAATTGTACAGACAATTAGGCTGGACTAACAAGGAAATGATACTGGCCACGTACAATTCAGAAACTTGACAAACACGCAGCTATAGGAAGATATCAGAAATTGACAACTATTGAAAAACTTTTGGCGTCTGTTTCTTTCCCTCAGTTTGTTAGCGCTTTCTAAACTGATGACACAAGAGTTAATCAATCATATGTAACCAGAATTATTCCAACTACCAAGAGATCGTAACGCCACGTCTTCAACACCGATGAAACGTGCTGAAGTGCTGCTAAATCTAAACGTATAACTATAGAACACACAAATGACTAAAGTACTGAAAGACTGAAAATTCAAAGTAAATAATAGCACGAAGAAATAAAATTCTAGAACTATTTCAAGTCATGAGCCAGTATTTGATGCAAGACTACTTGGTGCTGACCTAATGTCATGTCCTCCAGCATGTCGAGAAGCTCCTCCTGTGCGTCGTCGACATACTTGGTGCGCTGCACGACCAGTTTACGCAGTGACAGGTAACCGCTGAGAACTGTGGGCAGCAGCTGACGCTTGTATACACTCTTGATGCCCGCGTCGTCAAGGAACAACTGCAGCAGCTTCGTCACAGTCTTCAGGGCATAGCCTAAAAAGGGGCATTAAATATTGATCATCTTCACAGAAATGAGGAACAAGAAAAATGTTCGATAATAATCAGTCCCTCGGAATGAAATAACAAAATCTAATTACTGAATTCTTACCGAAACGCGAAATAAGCATGGAAGACTCACCCTGCAGGAGATCTGTGCTGAGACAAGTTTCTTCAAGCACAGAGAGCTGTTGGATCTCGCGAGTGATGAGAGAGCCGAGGGTTGTGAGCACACCTCGTACGGCCAAATATTGCTTCCATTCTGGTCCCATCATTAACCACTTGTACAGATCTACGAACTCTTGGCCACTTTCACCCGCCACGCAGATCTCAGGCAAGTACTCGGTCAGCAAATCAAGAAGCTTTGGGAGGAAGTACACAAACATCAATATTAACTAAGATTTCGAGCCGAAATCAATAGACAAGCTAGAAATATTTTTTATCTTTTGCAATCAAGAAATTTTAAACATTCTCGAATAATAAACCAAAGCTGAAGCAATTGGGAATTCAATTTTTAGACGTATAGACGTACACACGAATTCATTGAAATTAAACTTCAAAACAGGTGCTCTAAGATACGCATATCTTTTCAACAGACGGTATATTCATAACTAACACCTATAAAACTGAATATTACAGGGATGGAGTTTTTGTGATAAAACTTATCGTATAAGCAATCAAAATAAAATTAAAAATATGTTCACGATCACCCAATTACATGTATAAAAATCTCTCTAGTAGTTCGTCAAACGTATATCAGACGGAATGAAGTGCGTGTGAAACCTTGGCATTCCAGGTAGGGTTGGTGCGAGCGATGACGTAGACGACCTGCCAGACCACGTTACGTGCCAGACGAGATGCGGGGTTGAAGAGCATCTGACGCAGCCAGCTGTTGTGGGCGGCATCAGCGCCTGTCAGCGCCAACTGGAACTTGGGTCTGATCGAGTGACTTACCCACCGGCACGCGTACTTCTCAGCCAGGTAATATTGACGTACTTGAGGCTGCACAGAGATAACAATACCGGTATAACATACTCGTAATGAAAGCTGCTGATTAGCTCAACAATGAGCACCCTGAATTTATCGCTATACTCCCACAAAAAACGTGAAGGAATTAACAACCATTCAACAGTAGTCCCCAAAAACATTGCACATTGTTTAAAGAGAATCAAAATCAAGAATAATGTCAGCAATGTCAAAATAGGTCATTCTATAATTGTATTTATGAACAATAGAAAATAACAAAAAAATACGGGTATGTATACCTTGGTCATTTTCGAGAAGTTGACAGGCTTTCTATCGGACTTGGTGCCTCTAGTTCGCTTTTTCCACGCCTCGAAGGAATGTTCCGGGTCTCCTATCAGCCAACTGTGAAGGTCGACGGCGACACAGCAGCCTTTCTCATACTGACCCGTCATGACCGGGGAGGGGAGCGTCTTGGCTGCAGTTGTACTCTTGCTGGGCCCGCTTTCTTTAGCAGCAGCCGAGCGATCGGCACGAGGCTTGCGAGGGGGAAGACCACTCGACTTTGAGCTTCCCGTAGATTTGCTGCATGGGTCAGATTCATGGGTTAGCTACGTGACGAGTGAAATGAGCGACTGACAACAATCAATAATGACAGCTGAGAAGTTTTATTTTAAAAATAGCTAGCTTGGCAGTGGGAAGGAGAATATGTGATTATCCACATGAAGACTTGTTTTTATAGCCAGACAAGAATTACTAACGTATAAATTTTATGAACATGCGCATAGTAGATCTAAACACGAAGACGAAATATTTATTACCCAGCGGCAGCTTTAGGAAGTTGTTCGGGCGCATGTTTGGCTTGCGTGGTGATCATAGCTTGCTGCAAGATGCGCAGGCACGGCAGGGAGATATGCTCCATCACCTCAGGCGAGCTGTTGTTCCCACCCGCCATCAGGAAGAGCTTCGCCACGCATCTGAAAATTGAATGCAACACGCATGGTCAACTTGTGTAGAAACAAAGAAGAACTTCTTCAAAAGAATTCTCAAGTAAACACAGTGGATAAATTTGCTTTTCAAGTAGGATTAGGCACAAAATAATAAGAATGCCAGTTATAGTTCTTTCTCTATAAGTTCTGAACTTATAGAGCAGCTCCAGTCGAGTTAGGAAAAACTTATTTTTTTCGATATCCATGTCATAATTAACATCAAATCAAACTAGGCAGCTGTCAACAAGTCAAGGGTGGCGGAGAGCAGTTACCTTAGCCTTGTTTCCCAGCACGAGTCCTTGTGTGCGGCCGCGGCAGCAAGCAGCGCAACTTCGTGACGCACGGCGACGGCGAGATCTGGCGACGACAGATGAGCCGAGGACGTCACAGAACTCATGATGCGCTCGCTTATCAGATCGTTGAGCTCAGTCGTTGCCCTTATATCGTCTTGTGTGAGCAGCACGAGGAGCTCACGCACTTCTTTGCGCACCTGCAAGCAGACAAAGTTTCATCCAATTCGGTGAGCGAAGAGAAGTAAAGTTCAATACACCCAAGGATTCAATTAGATTTTGGCATTATGAAAACGGATTTTCGACTAATTTGGAGATAGATGTATATAAAGTAAAATCTCAAAGCTTTGGGAGAGAAGCTTGTAGTTTTGGTCTCAAGGCGCTTTGAAAATTTTCTGAACAATATGAATAAAGCATGTTATTTTTCAAAATTATTTTTAACAAATTCGAACGCACCTGAACGTTTCCACGCCTGAGGTTGTGCTGCAGCAGGTCTTGAATGAGACCGTGTCCACAAAGGGCTGCTCGTAATGGCTTCTTGGTAGCCAGAGCTCGCAGCAGTGTGATGCAGTGATGACTCGCAGCAGAGGCGCACCCATAACAGCGACAAATGCTCACTGAAACAAACAAGTTCACAGAAAAATGTTAAAGAGAAACATAAAACCACTACGAAGGTTTCAATGATTTGATAGATAACAAGCTTGATCATACAGTTTTTTGTAGTTTGCTAGATTCAATTGAATTGGAAAATATTGAAATGGTTCAAACAATAGTGAGAAACTTCCACACACTATTTCATAAAAGAACAGAACTTGTGTTGATAGATAATATTCTCGCAGAGAGGGTCGCTACAAGTGAAAAAATTCAACTGCAACAATGGACTCTTGAACCATAATTTCAAAACAATTGTATGGAAACCATGTGATGCATCCAGGATACGTGATACAAAGTAACAAATACAGGACAAACATTACAAAGCTCACTAGTGGAAGCAGCGGCAGCGAACGCAGCAGAAGGGGCACCGTCAGGCGAAATCTGAGCCGACGACAGGGACGCGACAGCGCGCTTACTCCCTTCCTTCTGACTGCGGTCGTAGGCCACCAGTTCACGGCGACAAGCTTGGATGCGCTGGTAAAGAATGATGGTTACACAATGTTCAGAATAGAGGTAATCCTTCGCACATCAAGTGAGAATGTAACACACAATCCGCAGCTTGAGACAAAGTTTGAGAACGCATTCAAATTAATGATGGGAAATCATCGATTAGACAGAAAAAATTAAATATGTATATATAGGTCTATCTCTAAAAGTATACGAGAAAATATTGCAATTTAATGTTTAAATGGTTGTATATTATCTACGACACAGTTATCTAATAAAAACATGAAAAAACTAACCTGGATAAGTTTGCTGAGTGCATCGAAAGCGGACTTGCATTCTCCACAATATTTCTGAGCAAGCTGCTGAATAGTTTTATTGACGTAGGTGTTGCCAACGAGCGGTGCAGCGGCCACAGTGTTAGAGCCGGCGAGTGCATCATCAAGACCTCGCTCGCCACCTTGTTCAGCAGCCTTCAATAGCAAGGCTTCCAGCGCTGGCTTGTAAGCCTGCAGTTGTTTGTAGGAAGAATCTGCCTTGTCCAGCATCAGGTTGATGAACATGGTGCTCTTCTTACGGTCCTCTTCGTTGTCAATGGGGTCAACTGCACAGCACATGCGGCACTGCAGCGTGTAGTCAAATTTGGCGTACTTGCAATACCCACACGCCGTGCACAAGAATGGATCTTTCTCGTCATAGTTGATAGCTCGGCATTTGTGACACTGGTAGACATTTTCACCGCAGTTATTACACACACCAGGCGAAGCCGGCACACCCGCGGAACAGCGAGGGCACTGCAAAGTCTCTGTGTTTGATTGCATGTTCTCGTAGAAATCAGCATACTCAAGCATGAGATTGCACGCGGCGATAGGAAGTGGGAAGTCAATTTTAACTTCAGTCTGGTTAGAAGCTAAAGTTACACGCTTGGCCTTGTGCCACATGTTGGGCTTGTTCTTCAGTTCGACGATGTTCTGGACGGTCCTGTTGTTGTAGTAGATGTTAAGGACCCTCACCATCTTAGTCCTCTTGAGCTCGTTGATCCGCAGCGTAATGCGGCTAATCAGTTGGTTGTTCACTAGCTTAACAAGTTGCGTTGTGGTTGTGTACTTGCTATCTGCTTTGATGCTGGTAAGTTTCGCAGTAGTGAAGGGAACTTCAGGATTGTTGCATACAAGACAAGGTTCACTCTCTAGGTAGTACCCATCAAAGTGCACAAGAGACGCAAGGGAGTTGTACAGAGAAGCATTAGGGTGACTTGCTAGGTGTTTTGACTGGGTACGCAGAAGTTCAACCGCCATGTTGGCATAGTCAACAATTTTTTCTTCGTGAGTCGTGTTCAAAGAGAAATATCCCAGCAAATCAACGAACTGGGCAGCGAGCCTGCCGTAGACAGGCAGCCGTGGCCACAGGGACCACATGAGGCTGAGCAGTGCATCTTGGTCTTTAGGTGCAGAGTGGCGGTACAAAGACAGCACCAGAGAGTGAGCTTGCCAACGAACACTCGTTGAATTGGACACCAGAAGGAAAGTGTGGATGAACTGCGAGAGCCGAGACCTGTCAAGATACATGTGCACTTGTGCCACAAGCTGAGGCCAGTGGGCTTGGGGCTCACTCTTATTAGCCTCACTGCTTCCTCCCGCACCAGCTTCGCTATCCTCACTGGATGCGCGTTTGCTGCTACTGCTCCCGCGGCTCAGGCTACTGTCTGCAGCGAGTGCTTTTTGAGCTGCCGATGCAACGGGTGGACCAACGGTGACGACTGCAGCACTGCTGTCAGTAGCAGCAGGGCATAGTGCAGCTTGCAGAAGTTGCAAGATTGTGGGAGCAACGCCTTCATCCAGTTGGCATGAAGCCTCGATGAGGAAACTGAGAACAGTTTCTTCTTTAAGGCAGTATTTTTGCCAGTTGTGGGTACGTACTTGAGCAATATCTACGCAAGCTTTGAGATGTTCGATAAGTTGTATGAGTGAATCATATGGCAGAGACACTGGAGATTGCGATCCGTTGCTGCTGAAGCTGAACCCGCCCTTAGCACACAGCAACTTGACTTCTTTGATACGATGGTCGAGGGCATGCAGATCTCGAATCGTTCGGTATTTGTCTTTGTGGCCAGTGAGAGCCAACAGTAGTTTTCTCACTTGTCTTTTAACAATTGCAGGCTGTTGTAAGAGCGTGTACTCGCAAAGATAGTGTGACCAAGAACTAACGCTCAATACACCACAGCCGCTGCCACGGTCGCACACCTTGTGCACTTGATACGGCAAACGCAGGACAAGTTCTGTCAGAAGTTGAGGGAAGGACGCAAAGACGTCATTCTCAGAATCTTTTAGAGGACGTAAGAAAAATGGGCTCATATCAGGCAACGGGTGCATTGGACGAGGTTTCAGTAGTACACTGCCCAGAAGAGTCGTGTTTGTGTCTTGTGACTCAGACCTCCAGTAAGGAAGCATTTGTTGCAAGAGCGAGAGGCAGTGAGTCACAGCCCCAGCACGGACCAAGCAATTGGCGGTGACCTGGGGCAGCATGAGAGACGCTCCAGCAGAAGGTGCAGTGACTCCACCGCGGGTTACGCTGGTTGTACTAGCAGCAGTCTTGCTACGCGACATCAGCACACTCAGAAGTCGCATGATGAGCAGCTGAACTTCCCTGGCAGGAGTGCGCTCGTGACATGGAGGTTGTTCGTGGTCAGTGTTGGTGATGGCATCACTCTCGCCTCCGCTGTCGCCAGCAGAGGAAGAAACAGCGCCAGTTGCGGCGACGCTGCTCGATGCCGACGGCTCGTCGGTCGAGCGGCCTGCTGAGTTAAGGTCGAGGGAAGCAACCAGAGCGTTGAGAAGCGCATCTAGAGTAACGCGGTCTCGACTGTTGCGCGGGTCCAAATCAGTTGACAGCATGAGGATTACCTGTAGAAAGCCAAATTTCGTCGGAACAGGTCGTCTATGATCAACTCTTAAGACACTTATTTTCTCATCCCGTCTACAATATTGCCTAAATGAAGGCATACCACCTCAAAATGAAGAAACCTCTAAGTATTCGTTATCGTTACGTTGGGACTCGGCAAAACTTCATACAGTAATCTTAGCCGAAACATGACAAAAGCCTACCTGAAGTGTTGGAATGGCAGCAATGCCTCCCAGCTGCTGCAGGCGCTGTAGTCGCGTAGTGAGAGCGTCCAGAAGAGCGAGACGCAGGCTGTGAACGCTGACATTGTTGGTGCTGCCGCTGCTTGATGGGTTACTGCTACCACTTCCTTCCGGCTATTAATCAAAAATTTGCATTATCCTTCACTCTTATCATGACTAAATTAATCAATATTTATGACAAAAGCATATGTAAACATTACCGAAATGCTCTGCATTAGATCGTTATCATTTAGAGAACAGACAGCATGAGAATACAACGCTAAATTGATTGCTCCACAAACTGTTCTCCAATGTAAATATGTATTATTGATTTATTGCTTAATCATTTGGACTATTCCAAATGATTAAGCAACTGAGACGAACCAACTAAGGCCGCGCTTTTTTTTACAACCGATTGTTACGTGGAGATATTCAAGTGAAAAAAAGACCCTAATGAGTTTTACGAGTTGTATAAGACCCCTAATTCCATTGATGAGCTCCTAATATGCAAGGGTGTACCAAATTTTATTCCTAACACACTCTATAGTTAACCATAGTTCTTCGTAACGGAGATTAGTTAATACCATAAATACCATCCAACGAGATTCACTGTACTTACATTAGGTGCGTTGCCATCAGCGTTGTGTGCGTCGTCAGGAGCAGGGATTTGGTCGTGCGTGGTAGCGTCGTACGCCGTGCTGGTGGCGCTCATCGCTCCAGCGCTGCCCACCGTAGCCATGCTACTCTGCTCACCCAGCAAGCTCTCCACCACTGAACACCCACTCTCACTGCCACCGCTGCATCCCTGTTAACATACATTCATAGATGATGCATCCACTACTCTCCATTAGCAACGGTACATTACAAAATTTGATGAAATAAAATATTCTAGCTGAAGTAAATCATAACATTAGAGAACAGAGCTGTCAATGCCTCAAACTTTGCTACAAAATTTGAAAAAATGCCTATTATAAACAAATGGCACCACCGACAGAATTCTTTTCATTATTAGAAGATGACCAATTTACAGCACAAAGAACATGTCTGCACATGGTTGTACGTTATAGGTTGAAGTTAATGTAAATATTATTTATAAGCATTAGCATGGGATAATTCGTATTAGCAAACGAAATGGGCGACTCTGTGTTTAGCATAAACTGTTAGGAAAATGGACGGCAGCAGCAGAAGGGAGTCTCACTTGATCAGCTGGAGACGTCCTCATAAGGTTGCTGCCACCATCAGTCGCAGCGTTGGACACTTCACCGTCCTCATCATCGCTGGCGTTGGCAGACGCCGTGGTGTCAGAGAACTGCCCCCCCTGGTTGTCCTCCCCCACGTCCAGACCCCCCGCCACGTTGACGATCTCCCCACCCACATTGACCAAGTCTCCGGCAGCGTTGCCCGCGGCGTTATCCAAATCGTTGGCAACATCATCCAAGTCCTGCGTCAAGTTGCTCCCTCCAATCACGTGGATGACGTCCATGTGATCTACATCATCATCATCATCATCGTCGTCATCGTCATCATCATCATCGTCGTCATCGTCATCATCATCATCATCGTCCTCATCCACTTCGTGCTCATCATCGTCATCATGATCGTTCTCACCATCATCCTCAGCGTCTTCATCATCGCCATCGTCATTCTATTGGTTGAAAATAGAGCAAATAATTCACAGAAGTGATGCTCGAAAACAGCAGCCTCAACATAGACCAAATAGAAGCTATGATTGTTCAAAGCACTACACTATCAAGTCGTAACCACCTGCGGAAAGAAGACAATTTTGTATATTCATTTATAATTTCGTCCAAAAGCACACAGATGAGTGGTGCACTCTTGTGCAGTGATCGGTCTTCCCTCCAGATTACGGGAAAATTCTTTCCGATAAAGCAAAGGAAAATTTGTAGACTCTAAAAAAAACTTTTCGGCGAAACATGAAAATCTCGTATCGAGGTAAAAGAGATTAGAATGAATCGGTTTTCAGGCAATAAAAATGAGCACACCTGGTTAAGAGCTTGATTTTGGAGGCTAGGAGGAGCCTGCAGAGCACCTGAAGCGAGGAGACTCTGCAGCACGTGGCCGCGCAGGTGCTGCAGACGCTGGAACACAAGAGAACCAACATGCAGGCTATACTTTGTACATGAATATTCACGTCGCCTGTCAAAGAACGAGTGACAAAATACTCCGATGTTTAATGCTCTAACACGGAGGTCAATAAATACGCATTTTCCCACATTTATTTTTCAAAATGTATTATTGAGGATAATTAAAATTCTTCACACGTTATACATACAAATGCAGCTCACATTGTAAGGGGTGAAAAAACAATAGATTACAATGGTATCCTGTAAGAGGGACGCTTCGTACAATAACAAGAATAATAATAATGATAATAATGATAATAATAATGATAATTATAATAATAATAATGATAATAATCTGACCTCCATGCCGGCGAGCTGCTGGCCACCAGCAGACGCCTCGTCATGCAGGGAGAGGGCGATGGCGAGCTCCATCATGGCGTCGTCGTCATCCTCGCCACCACCTCCGCCCAGCTCCATCATGCCTGCCAACAGATCGGCGCCAGAACCTGCGCCAAAGTAAATAAAATATAATTACACTAAATAACAAAATAATCTGCGCCTTCTGTAAATTAATTATGGACTTGCTTAAGCAAATTTTTAGTATCCGCACAACACAATATCCATAGAACAGCTTTGGTAACAACAAGTCCTGGTAGAGACCAGCGAGCGCAGTAGGTTCTTTCTTCGTTATAGAACTATACAGCTACACCATGGTTAATATTCCAGGTAATTTTAAATTATACGCAAATTTTGATATTCTTCAATATTTCGACATGCAAAGGTGTAACACAGTCTTAATAGAAAACTGAGTTAAGAATATAATTTAAACACGATAATGGGTTCAAAAAGCAATTCAAAATCATGTGCAACCGTAAAACAAATGATGACCATTGATGAAAGTTTACTAAAAAGAATATAATTCAAAATAAAATAAAAACAATCCATAATAAATAAATATATAAATGAAGACTATTGACGAACTCACCCGGCGCAGCAGCCCCCAAAAGCTCGCCACTGGCTCTAGCCACTTCGGCCAGGGCGCCCACGAGGTCGCTGGCTTCGTTGTTACCAGCGGCGCGGTGACCGCCGGCCGACCGATGACTGCTGCCCTCCCCTGCTGCAGCTGAGGCGCCTGATGGCCCAGCAACAGCCAGCCCACTGCTTTTACCTTCACCTTACAAACAAGAATTTTTCTCATAATATGTAATTAATATTACCTACACCAGGTAAAAACAATGAAAGATATTGTTCATAAATCTACAATGGAAAACTGACTCAAAAGAAATGTTACAAAATTAACGAAATTGCCAGAAAAATATTTATGGAAGAGTCTAACAGAAATTTTGTTCATAAACCTACATAAAAAAAACTGACACCATACAAATATGTTACAAAATTAACGAGGTACAAGTAGGAAGAAACATTAATTCAAGTCACTGCATTCAATTTTGGAAGGAATACTGGACGTTACGGAACTCACCAGGAGTAGAGCAGCGAGGCGGGCTAGGCAGGAAGACGCGCTTGTGCTTCTTGGTGCGAGGTCGCAACAGTCGCACTAACGCCGTCTTGGCGCTGAACGAAACCTGCAAAACGTTCATATACAAAATAAAATTAAAATAGGATTGAATCAATTGTCTTTTGGGTCAAATTCCCACAAAATATGACTAGAAACAGCAAGAAGCAAACAAGAAACTTGAAGCGAGTTAAATGGAAATGACCAATCTGACGCGGTACGTTGAAAAATCAGGCGTTTTATTAACAATGAATAAAGTCACTAAGTTAAAAAATTGTCCTAAAATGTACGTTATAGTTAAGCCTTCGTTGAAAAGTCAGGCGTTTTATGAACAATGAATAAAGTCCGTAAGTTAGAAAGGTGTCCCTAAAATGTAGGTTACAGTTCATCACCTGGTGGTGAGGTGAGAGCAGCAGGGAGCAGTAGAGGCGCATCACGAGCGGTACAGACGACGGGCTGCACAAAGAATATCCGTGCAAGATCTCCAGCATCGCCTGGACGGTCGCTTCCACGTGAGTGAGGCCTGAGAAGAAGGGAGAAAACTTTACCAACAATACGGCTAGTGCTCCTTATACGTCTAACAAAAATTATTCCTTCATCAAAAGTCAGCGCGATATTTGCTCGGTATGGTGCGAAGAGTTTTATTTTCAACTTTCATCAAACGGTCACATTCACGACCGTGTTATGTACAGTAGCAGTGAGGTTACGCGAGTGTTGAGAAGACTGGATGGTTGGCCAACAAAAATCGGAAGATATTCAAAATTATTTCAATTCATTAAAACTGTATCAAATTTTCATGGTGACCATCGTTACCATGGAAAATTTACGAATTCAGGCTTTTTGATTTAACAACTTCTCATTTTCCAACAACGTTTCAAAGACTTCTTCCTAAACTTTTCAAAGCGTAATCTGGTCTTGAAGATTCACAGTTCAATTTAATAGAACATCACGCTGTCTTAAAGTTCTGACTTAGCATAACCCTCATTGTATGGGCTTAAATCTTACTGACCAGGCTGGTACACAGGGCTCAGAAGTGGGTTGAGCGGACGCGCTTTGAGCAACAGCCAGAAGGCTTCCATGAGGAGAGATAAGAAGTGGTCATCTGCAGCTTCCTCTTGCGGAGCACCTGACGGCACGTTAACCTCACTTTGGTCAGAGACAAAGGCTTTCGGCTCCTCGGACAAAGCCTCTTCAGAGTCGTTCTCTAAAGTCTTGTCAGCCACCGAGTCTTCTGGAGCATCCACAGTAACTCGGACACTAGACTCGACCAGCGTCGTGTTCAGATCTCGAGCTTTCTGCGTGAATCTAAAAAAACGAAAAAAATTCATAATAAGTTGTCATCCAATAATATTTAAATCAAGGAAATCTTTGAAAAGCATGAATGCTTCCAATAACCATTACAGAACATACGACAGTGGCGTCAACGCAACTTGGATTTAATGCACAGTAGAAGGTGTATAGGTAACTTATTATAATACATAATTTTTGAAACGGCTGTTTACTTCTTCAACTACCTTAACAAAACGAACAAAATATCACAAGTCAAGAAAGATTATTAAGAGAACCAGAATGTTGTCAGTATCTCAGAATATGATGAAGAAGGCACTTACTTGACGAGGTTGTGAGGCCTTGAAACAGCAACTTCTCGGGCCAAGACGATTATATTATGGAAAGCTCGGCACTCCATAAGAGAAGGGTCTTTTTGACCAGTAGCGATGAGAGAATTAAGAGTTTCAATAACTCCAGAAAGTTGTGCTCCGTCCAGCTGTTGGTGGTACGTCTGCCGAGACTCGTGAAGAGAGGAAAGCAGGGAGCGCGTGCAAGACTGTAAACGCGGTGAGAGCTGAAGGTTTATCATACGAGTCACGATCTCAAGTGCTTGCTTGCGAGCGCTGCTGTTGACGTTTTGCATAGTAGAGAAACAGCCGTCCAAGGCATCGAGGGCAGAGCAGAACAGTGACTCCAATACACTGTCATTGCTGGACGCTTTGGCTGTCGTCATGTCGGTATCATCACCAATACTCCGTGACGCGTTCGCGTGAGAATTGGTAGCCGTCGTGGGTGCAGACGTGCTGGTGGCGTTACCACCAACGCTCGCAGTTGCGTACTCCTCGTCGTCAGGCCAGCCAAATTCTTCTTTTGTTTCCCCGTATATTTTAACGGCATCTATGATGGTCACCTGAGAGGGGTCAGTTGAAGGTCCGAATGTCAACACGAGTTTTTTGTCAGATTTCAGAGACTCCTCTCGTGTAAATGGTATGTCGTACCACCGATTGCGCGAAGTGTTCACGGGAATTGTGCGCCCAAAGACCTTGACGAAAGTAGGATTTTTGAGGGGGTGGAGGCTTCCAACTGCCACACGCGCGCCGCACATCACCACATTTGCATCTTTGTTGGTCACTTCAAGTTGGAAGCCGCCAGGTTTGCTGCAGGCCACATAGGTGGACTGGCTGTTTAGCCTATTCTTCAGCTGCTGTACGTTGTACACTTGCAAGAGGTCATTGCCACCAAAATCGACGTCAGAGATTGGGTTACAGTGTTCAAAGAAGTCAACTGGGAACGCTACGGATCCAGATGACGAGGCGCCATGCTTGACGTTTTTCTTTTTGCGGGATGTCCTTGGAGCCGAGTTATCTCCAGGCAGAGCGAGGCGTGATTCATTAGAACTCGTCCAAAAATCTGCTGAATCCGAGAAAGCAGAGAAGACTCTCAGCGAACCGTCCTCGCTGAGTAACAGCAGAGTGGTCCGGGACTCATTGCCTGCTGCGTGACGAAGTGCAACTATGTCGCAAACCTTGTTCTTTGATGAGGGGATTTTTATCTCCTGCACCATTATGCTCTCTGGCTTCACATAGATTAGTACAGGTACATTGCCTTGGATCATGAAGCACGTGAATAGACCTGGATGGCCTAGCACTTCTGACCACTGACATAGAGGTGACATCTTGCTGCTAGAACCTGCACTCGAGCTACTGCCACCGGAGGATCCAAGGCTACTACTGCTGCTGGCGCCATTGCTCGAAAGGCTGGCGTTGCTGCCACTTGGCTTGACGTTGATGGGGAAAAGCTTGTCAAGCTTAGCATTCTCTCCTGTTAACAATCAAAGATACATCGTGAAATGCTGACAATGGAATACCGAATATTAATATTTTCCACAAGGCGAGTTGGCGATCCTCAAACTCAAACGTCATAATTTTACACTTCAACAACAAGATTTTCAAGACTCTGTGCAATCGTGAAAAATGGTTATTAAAATCTGTCAGAAAATAGCCACCAAGATTGTGGAAATGATTAGGCTGAGAGGAAGATGCTTTAGGTGTCACTAAACGTGTCGTGGGAACGTGATCGTGACGTGTCAACGCACGAGGATAGCCTATATAAGAGCCCAGTTCATAAATACTGGAACCGTTCACACCATGAAGCCTAACATACTAAATCCGATTATAAAGTACTACGGCGACTTGAGCTTGACGGCCGAAGCAAACTTCAAGTCCTCAACCTTAGTCCCGAAAATTGCACTAGTAACGCAACAATACCCAGTAGCTAACCATACAATGATAATGATGGCAATAACCGCTTATTCTATATACCTATGATGACATTTTTATGGGATCCCGACTAAAATACTACTTTAAAAACAAACCAGCAGGCCAGGAACGAAAACGTCGAATCTGACACGAGATAAAAACTAACCAAGTTGCGTAAGAGGCGCCATGAAAGAACGTCCGTGGGAGTAGCTGAAGCAGAGCAGTTGCAGACCTTGTGAGTAGTGAATGGATACACCACCACCACCGACCACACCCGAGACATCCTGCTCAGTAGGACATTGATTCGCATGAATAATCCACAAAAAGCGACAAGGAACATAAAGTTGCAAATTAATCTTATTCGGGAGTTCGAGTCATGATCATGTCTAATTCCCGTAGTATATACCAAAATCTAGTTTTTAAATCCAGTTGTAAATAATCGCAAAAGATTAAAAAGCTGATGTCAGGATGCTGTAAAACCTTGAGCTCGGCAGCTGCTTGGTCGACAGCGAGAACGTTGGTGACGTAGAACGAGCCGTGCTTTGCGGAACTGTCCTCATTGAGCTCCTGTGTGTAGATGTAGCCTGAAGACGTCATCAGCAGCATGTGCACAGAGCCATCCTGCAGAATTTTAACCGAAACATAATAAATATGCTGGTCTAGGATCATTAGGGAGGCGATTCCACACCACCTGCAAATGATGTGAGCGAACAACACTTGCAAATATTGTTCAAGGTTTTCAAAAGCGGTTTTTATTTCGGTTTTTCAATTGGGACAAGACTTTTTAGCGTTTTCTGAAAGGGGTGTTTAGCCTCTTTTCTGCCAGGGTAGAAAAAAATTATTTGATATAATTAGAAAGCTCTGCAATTTTTGAGAGGAAATAAACTGACCGGAAGAGAAGCAAAACAAGCATCTCTGATTTTGCCCGACGGAAGCAAAAGGTAGTACTGCGGCGATAGCGCGTCCACACTCAGGTCGTATATCTTGACGAAGTCGGCAGTGACGACAGCAAGTTGTGTCTGCTCACCTGGCAGCCATACAACCCTGATGTTGCGAAAGAATAGTTTTTTTATTAAACCATGAAGGAGCTGTACACTTGAACTCCAATAGCTCTTTCAAGTAATAGTTTTTCATAAGAAAAGAGAGGAAAATGGGATTCTATGCACATTAGATCTCACTTGATGATATAGCCGCTTGACTCAAGCTGGAGGTGGAGCACGAGATGCTCCATAACGCTGCACGTAGATGAGAAAACAAGAACGTGGCAGTCCTTGAGTCCGCAGACGGCCAAGTAATCGTCATTGCAGGGGTTGGCAGAGAGACTCAGCACCAAGAATGGCAGTGGCAGACTCGTCAGTCGAGAAATGGTCAGCTTGCGCTTGCTGGCCCCAAAGTTACTGGACGGCAAACCCAACTCCTGGTGGAGGAATTTAAAGTTTTTATGAATAGCAATTGGAGTCCAGAGAAGCAAAAACAGACCTCTCAAGAAAAGGTGCTTGGGTTAATCAATAGTGTATGAGCAGATCACTTGAAACGCAAGACAAAGAAGAGAATCGTAATGAGAGATGACCTCGCTCTATGTGTGTGTGTAGTCTTAAATGTTTACACAGAAAAAGCACAAACTTAAAAGTGTACGCCGATTATTGATTGTTGGACTGATGGTCGTTGAAAGCGGAGTGAGCGTGGTTGGTTTAAACGAGCATCCAAAACAATTTTTTTTTTACTAGAAGAAATTGATCAATAGCTACATTATATTCATATTCTTGTTACCTTCTGTCGCAAGATGGACGACAGCTGAAGCAGGACAATCTTGCCCTTCTCGTGAGTGACCGCCAAGTGCTGGCGGCGGCTCGTAGGGGACGTCATGATGGACATAGCCACCCGTCGGATGGCGTGGGTGGCCACCAGCTGACGGATAGTTTGGCCCTGGTCCCCAGAGTAGTTAAGGCGCACGTTCTCGAACGCGTTCTCCTGGGCTCCCAGCGGAGAGAACATCAGGTGGTCACCCATCTGTACATTCTGAAACGATACCATGGTACAATATTGAAAAATGTACCGGTATTTATCTCTGTCTAGTTTAAGTTAATAATGGCATGATGCATTGATAGCTACTTAAGTATTAAATGCCTCAATATTCAAAACAAAACTCGATTTAATAAAATTCAGAAGGTCGCAGCATGTCACTGAAAGAATGCGATTCAATCGGTAACTGATAATAAAAAAGCTGTTGAGAAAATGTAAAAAATTATATAGAGTTGATATAAACCTTGGGTGCAGAGTGAAGCGTGTGCAGAGCCTTCCTGTTAGCGTTGAGGGAGTTCAAAGCAGCCCTGGCATGAGCCTCGTCCTCCAGACGCGGCAAAAGATTGTGAAGAAAGTAGAGACACACGCTTAGGTGGGTGTTGCTGCTGCACAGGCTACTCCATACGCCCTCTGCAACAACGGCTCGTGTTATCGCGGGGAAATCTTTTTCATGCAATCAAGAAGCACAGCGCATAAATATACTCTTATATACCTATACATACATATTCTTTACCAACAATTGAATATCTGGTTTGCACGCATTACAAATTTAATATCGACCATTGTTATTTGCGTGAAACTTCCTCATTAGTGTGGCAGCGAATCCTCTCGTAGTACTATTGAAATAAAATAAATGCATGCAATTTAGTTAAATTTTTTCGCAAATCGTCTTCAAGTTTAATTCCAAAACTGATTTTAGATGAAGTTCCCTAACAGCGAAATTAAACAGTGAGCTAATGTAATATTGTGACCAAGATACACACCAAACGAGGCACTCACCGATCTGCCGCGCCAGAACCTGACGACGCTTGTTAGTTTGTTCCCGTACGCTGTCAGTGTACGACAGCGAAGGAGACAAGGCGCGTTTCTTCCTCAAGCCTGGCAAAATAAGGCAATCATAAAGTTAGAAGACAAGCTCCTGCAAACTTGACTACTTGCAAACTTGGTGCACAGTATGGACTACTTGCTGCACAAACGTAGGAATTTTAGTTCATCAACTTAGAGTGCAAGTTCTTCCTAAAAAATGCCTGAAGATAAGACAATCAATATATCTAACCCACATCATCTCTGATAAAATCAGAGAAATATGTCATGGAACTCAAATCAGCTTCCATCAATAACACGCTAAATCTCCATGTACCTCATGTTTAAACACCGGCCTAAGAGTTATCACGATACGCGAATAAATTCTATTTTATTTTCGGGTTTTCCATTCTTGGTGTTTTCTAGTGCTCAGAAAAGTTCGGCCCATGTAAAGCAGTAGATTGTCTGTGCACTATACAGTCACTGCCAATCACAGCTGTCGATGTCCTACTAGGAGTCAAAGATGATGCTGCATTCGCCGCCACAGCAGCGTTTTCGCCTCGTTTCTCAAAAGGACATATCATAATTTTCTTCATCACTAAAATACTCCTCCTCGCTCACAGCACAAAAACAGAGTTGGGTTATTGAAATTGCCACGCATGAACATTGAAATTGCCATGATGAACGACATCAACTTGACATCACGGACCAATTTTTAAGATCATACCTCGCCAAAGATACAGTTAACACAAACTTAGCTAGTAACGTTCTCTTGTCACACGAGACACTTCAGGTTCAAGACATGTCAACAACAATCTAGGAATAAATTAACCTATCATACCATATTTTCATCTTCTGACTTAATCTTAATGTGGATTTGATTCAAAGTAATCTCAAGAAATAACAAAACAACACACCTGAGGCAGAAGCAAGGGCACCCACACTGAAGACGGCACCTGCGGACTCAGTTGCGTCACCTCTGTTGCTGTAGCTTGGTGTCCTTTTCACCAGAGCCTGCAATATTTAAATAAGATTATAAGTGTTCTTTTAGTAACGTGCGAAGTTTTATTTGAAGCTTTTGGCATGAAATAAGAGTGATGCATCCTATCACTGATCACGTACAGTCACTAGTTTCTGATCTCTGCTTCCCATGACGTGATGTGCAAATGTTCACGTGATTTTGAGTGAACAAATCAAAACGTCCAAATATAATTGCGCACGGCGCACAAAATTGCACTAAAAAATTTTTCATCAGTGAAAATCCAAGCCAAACTAATTACACTTACTATCATCACACGCAAGAATTTAATGTTTAATATGCTGACCTGACATGATCCATCCTCTTTGGCGCCGCAGTCACAGAAGAACGAGCCATACTTGGCGTAAGTGACGTCATGACCTTTATGGCAAACTTTGGCACACACGGAACACACGCCCACGCCGTCCTCCATTTGGCAAGTATGGCAGTGGTACCAGTGTTGGCTTACGAACTCTTTTTGCGTGAGAGTGTAAGTGCACAGTTTGTTGCACACGCTCTCGTCCTCCTGCAACCAAAGACGACACATGAACCGAGAGACCAGCGAACACAACTTGTTAAAAATACCAACATCGTACTAACGTCATTTGAAACAATTCAAATTAAAATGAAAATTTACCCGTTCCCTCATAATACACCACGCTATGTTCTACCTCTTTTTACAGACTCGTGTATGAAAACAAGAAATGGACCTATACTGATGCATGAATGATCAGGTATCGTTTATAGTCAAGAATAAAATTTTATGAGGCAAAGGACCCATTGCATTCCCAACAGAAGAGTTACATACGGAATCTTCGAGAACTTCTTCATCGTCCAGGCCGTCATCGTGGTTGCGATCGTCGAGAAGGTCGCTGTCAGCTGCATCTGTCACTGACTGAATGTCACCGCTGGGCTCCCCTGCACGAAGGTAGCCCAAGTGAGAAGAGCAGAAATGCAAGGATATCGATTGTAAACTATAACAAATAATTCTGGCCGAAAAAATGAGATGAAGACCTGCGAAATAATTAGAAACAAATGAATAAAAATGTAATACTAGTATACAAGCCGCATGTGATAATGTGGACAAATTGATTGTATTAAAAAAATTTAAAAAATATAGTCCGAATTCCGCCCCTAGCAAACTTGAGAACGAGTCTAACTTACAGCAGCACATGCTTTGCTGATCTGCTCTCCAAACCTAACCTTCAGCAGCACAGTTCTTGATCTGTTCCCCAATTCTAACCTTCAGCAGCACAGTTCTTGATCTGTTCCCCAATTCTAACCTTCAGCAGCACAGGTCTTGTCTGTTCCCCAATTCTAACCTTCAGCAGCACAGTTCTTGATCTGTTTCCCAATTCCAACCTTCAGCAGCAACGTTCTTGGTCTGCTCCCCAATTCTAACCATCAGCAGCACAGGTCTTGGTCTGTTCCCCAATTCTAACCTTCAGCAGCACAGTTCTTGGTCTGTTCCCCAATTCTAACCTTCAATAGCACAGGTCTTGGTCTGTTCTCCGGATATTTTAAGAGCCACGAGCACGTCGCTCAAGTACGAGAAGAGTAAGTGCGCTGGCACCAGAATTTGGTTCTTGAGGCGTTCGACAACCGCGGGGCTGAGGTTCCTGTCATCAGAGGACGTGCCAGCGTCGCCAGGGCTGTGCACATTCATCGTAGCGCCAGGGAAGACAACGTATTTGCTGTACACACCACATTTAAAAATAGTTATTATTAGGTTATTTTCAAACGCAAGAGATTTTTAATCAAGATTCAAAGAAGATAATCACAAATAAGTTCATTATTTCTTCAATGAAATATTGTTTTCTATTTGTTCAAAAAACATGTAATACTCATTTGAAGCATGAACTATATAATACTAGAACGATCCATTGATTGATCGATATTTATAACGATAAAGTTTATACTAAATAACAATCAGCTTCACAAAGAAAATTATGAAAGAACATTCTTGTACTGACAAATATAACACATGAATACATCAGAGAGCTATTGGACCAAACTCACTATATTTGTAGCCACTGTATGGCGGTGCGCAGTAATATGACGTGACCCTGAGGCGCCGCCCCCCCAGCCAAGGATCTCATGATAGGCACGAGGGTGGAGATGGGCTTGAGGAAGCGACAGCTCTCTTCGGGGTCGCCGGTGACTATGGCTTCGTCAGTGATGCTGTTGCCCACCGTTTCAAGGGCCCGAAGCAGCGAGGTACAATGGCTCTGATAACCAAAATATTTCAGGACAATGCGACACCTATCTTTTCATTTATTTTTATACTAGAATTACTGGCAAAAACTCTATGCCAAACGATTACGAGCTAACGAGATTATAAAATACGTGTGCACAACACAGGAACAACGGCTGAGGAGTCCCTAACATTAAATATCTGATCAAGAAACAAATCATTCTTTCAGAAATAAAACTGCTGGTCATTCTAATACATAACTGTATTGATAAAATCATCCTATAGAAAATAGACCAAGGCAACAAATAACCTGCTAAAGTTTGATCAATAGGTACGTATATATTTGGGAAAATATCAACGAATAAAAATATCAAAAATTTATCAACAAGTCATTCAAATGCATCCAGGATCGTCGTAAAATCCAACCTTGGCGAGCTGAGTGTCCTGAGCGCAGGCATACTTGGCCATGGCCTGCACCAGCGACCAGCAGTGACGCAGCCTCATCTCTTGCGTCACCAAGTCCGACGCGGGCACGCCTCTACGCTTGGTCGTCTCGTCATCTTCATCGTCGCCAGTGTCACCGTCATCATCGTCCAGGACCATGGCTTCGTTCTGATGTGAACATTGCAAGGCATTAATGCTGGAACTGCACCAAACAATTTCGGTCAAACACAAAACATATTCTTCAACGTGTGCCTATATCGTTTAAAACCAGTTGAATTGGCTTGAAAATTAAATATATTGGAGAAATACAATCTATGGTGGTAAAGAATGAATTTTGTATCTAATATTAGCAAACTGATATAATATTGGTCTCGCGAAAAATCCACATCTGTGAAAATAAACAAGCTAACACCTGTTAGGTGGCTTATTATATATTGTGTTATTAGCAATATTATATTGCTAGAAAGCACACTCATTTTTTAGATCAAATGCCCACCATTTTGCCTTTGGTTGCTGAAGTGGCCGCTGAACTGAGGAAGTTAAGTGGCACCAGATCCGGATCAAGGAAGGGGCTCTCAAACAAGATGGTCTTGGCAAGGAATTTCCGATCCTTGCGTTTTCTGATGAAGCCTGGCAAACGGGAAGGTGGGGGAAGCTGTGGAGTAACTTCAACTATTTTCGTGCTGCCAGGAGTTTCAGTGGATCTAGAACTCACCGAGTAGTGAGCTTTGTTGGCAGAAATGAGCCAGCGTTGTAGAGCACCAGTATCGACCCAAGACCAAATGTGGTTACAAATGCCAGATAGGTCACTGTCCTTAGGCTGTTTCTCTGCCTGCTGGAACAGCACGATCAGGAAGAGGAGGATGGGCTCGGGTAAGATATTTCGTTCACTCTCAGTCTCAGCAGACGTCAAAGCCTCTGATGAGGGATCCTCTTCCTTGTCCGACACGGAGCGTTTGGCAAGTTTGGATGACGAGCTCGACTTGATGGCAGTTAATTTAGGAGGGACGGGTGAGAGCAGCACAGAGCAGAAGTGAGGTGACGTCTGGAAATGAGACCGAAGAGATTGTCGGCCGGCAGGGTCCTCCAGCAGCTGACACAGGAAGTCCCCAATGCCGGACAGTACTCGATCGCTCACCACACTGATACATGCCATAAAATTTACATTACATATAAAACAAATGAAATGGTATTTTGTAAAACATTTGAATGCATGAAAGCAAATTCATGAAATGTCATGTTAATGAAAGGAAGGCACCTAAAAAATTGGCAAACGTACCTGTACCAAACAAAAATGTATTTTTCTGCTAAAAACATGACAATCGCTAGAAGATTACATTATTGTGTATGTTATCAGAAAGATGGAAGTAACTTAACATAAGTTTCACTTACGTTGCATGGGGACTGAAACCATTACAACTTCCTACGACTAACTAATAAGGAGAAATGATAAGGGTAGTTTGCAGCTATCTTTATGATAGCTTGCACGCTCGCTACAAATACAAAATAAGGGAAATAAGAGACTTACCCGTGGTAGTTGGCAGCTATCTTGAGCAGAGCCTGCACGTGCACGAGCTGCCTGCCGTAGAGGTGATGAGCTACCGTGGCCTGAGTGTTACTGCCACTACTGCTACTGCTGTCACCAGTGCCCGCCGCAGTGCTGTCAGAACTGCTACTGCTGCTGCTACTGCTAGCGCTACCAACGCTCTCGTTGCCGCTACCACCGCCCACTGTTACGAGAGTCGAGTTGGGAATAATGGTTCCAGCACATGACAAGAGGTTACTCTTTCTTAGTACGACAGCACAGTAAATGCTTCCATGATATACGAGTTAAAATGAATAGACCTGCCGTATTTCAATATTAAGAAACGTTCAATTATAAATTCTACAACATTAAACTAACTGCAAACACATGGATACAACGTTTGAGCAACTTCCAGAAAAGTTTACGCTTCTTCTAGTTCCACTTCATATTACAAAAACCAATGCAAATGTCAGACACTTAGAAGAAATGCCATAGCAGCGATTGCTCTTAACTAATGGAAGGAACCTTTGATAATTATTTGTATCTTCTCATGTACTTCTCAAGTAACATTTCAAAGTCAAAACAAATGCACCAACTTGAGCTCTCTCGAAGCACTTAACCTAGAATGTGTCCCGGAATACCTTCAAGGTAAAATAGCCCTGGAATATAATTTATTACATAACCTGGAATATCTTCAACAAATGTCAGACTTCATGCATTATAATGCATAATGAGTTTACTATGAGGAACTGTAAACTGACTTGTAACGCCAGTAGCTGCGGTTGGTGGCGATGGCAGGAGCCGTTCAAGGGCCGAGCCCAGCGTGGTGGACAGGCCGTCGCAGGTGGCGTCGGCGGCGATCGATACCAGCGTTTGGACCAGCTGAGCGTGCGGTTTTTCACTCTCGGTGTACCAGCTGCCATTGCAAGGTTTTATCAAATTACCTCATTAGACATAAAATTTAAAAATTTGTCGTTCAGTTCGGGAACAAAAGGTTTATTTCTGAATGAGGTCTAGGAGCAAAATCTTGATTCAAGCCAAAAATAGTCTATGAAATAGAATGCCCAACATTCAGTTCTCATGTCTTGACTTATGCTGTACAATAATCGCTCGGTTATAGCGATCAATAATTACAAGAACCAGCCATAGAAACTGAAAAATTGCGGAGAAGTTTCATTTTCTGTGCAGCTGAGCGCTAATTCGTTCAGTCCGTGTAGGCGTGCTACAGACCCTAGATAAAGCAGGCCGTACACATTTCCAACCAGTAATAAAGCATTCTCTCTCTCTCGTTCAATGTCATTCATTCAAATGCTAGCTAGAAATTCAGAGACATGTGTTTTGAGTTGTGTTTGCAGTCACGACGGTGTGCTTGCATGTGCAAAAAATGTACTCCAATTTTTCAACATTTTGTTCCAAATACATTTTAACGCTCACAAAATAGTGGAGCTTTGATAAACGCAGGAAGTAGCAAGGGATTACTACTGCCGATCTTGCGAATATTAAGACCTCATAAAAAAAGCAAGAAATACCGCTTCAAACAAACGCTTATGCAGGATTCAGACCGAATGACGCGTTACGCCAAATAAAAAGGAAGCTAAGCAGCAGAAGTTGTACCCGGCGAGGTCAGTAGTGAAGGTAATGAGGGTGCGCAGGACATGCTTCAGGGGGGAGCTGGCGACCGTGAAGTTGGGGGCGTCGGAGAGACAAGACACGTGGCCGAGCACCACGCCCGACACAAAGCTCTCGCCAGGCAACACGTCGCCCCCGCACTGGCTGCTCTTCTGTCAACAACAAAGCATAACCGATCACTGTTGTTTCTCTTAGCGTATAATCATGAAGTGCTCCACTAGTAATCCGTTTGCGAAGCATTAGTATTAGGATAAATAAATACGGCGATCTATCTTCGGATTATTCACCAAAGAAAATATGTCAATAATTAGATTATAAGTTTTGATTCCCTGCAACGATGTTCCTGGCTCACAAGCCACGAACAAACCAAAATCATATACATTAGTGATCGGAAATTTACATGCCCAACCAACGGAGATTTTCCCTTTCTTTAAGACAGAGAAAGTCGTGTTCACTTACTCAATTAGCACGGCAATCTGATTAAGAACATTTTCTTCAGGGATAAACTAATAACGTTTCACTTTTTGTTCATAGAATTTATAAGTGACACGCCCGCAAACATTCCGCCCTATATTGGCTAGTTCTAATTAATACTTTGATGCCTGGCCGGATAAGATGGAACTATGGATGTTGATGCATTGGAGTCATGTACACAGCGCTGCTCTTGAAGCTTAAGCTAAAGAAATTTAATTAACATGCTAGTCATTTATTGTCGAATTCACAATAACGTATACGAAAACTAATAATGCAGGTTTTATTGAAGACCAGAGAAAACTCTGGACTTCAATGAAATACTCTCTGGTCTTCAATGAAACCTGCATTAAAGAACAGCTTCCGTCAAACTGCACAAATGTAAACTAATAATTAGATGAAGATCACGATTTAATGCAATAAAAAAAAACAATCTGGGACTCACCCAAGCTTGAGGCTGAGGGAATGTGTCGAGGGTATTGGAGGTCCAGCGTTGCAGAGCCGCGTTCAACAGAGGGTTACGACAGTCCTTTGAGAGACATGGCTGTACAAAGCCTGCCTGGTCTCCAGATACGGCGAGAACGCGACTCAGAGCTTCTATTAATGGACCGGCATCAGATGCCGCAGTTTCTTCAGCAGCCGCTGACTTGGAAGTGCTGCTGCTGCCGCTGCTCGTCGTAGCAGGAGAGGAGCTCATGCTGTGCACAACACCGTGCCGTGCTGACTCCGTCAGTAGCATGATCAGTGACAGGAGCGACGTGACGGGTAATTGATCTGCCGTGATTTTCAGCGTCTGGCATAAATCATGAGTGTCCCCGGCACCTCGTAGGTCCAGGTCACCTCGCTGCCATCCATCATCCAGCGTGACCTTGTGGAGAAAATAAACTTTCCCTGAGAACCTCTGAATCTTTGTTACTCACACCCATCAAATCAAATACTCATCAGCGACGTTTATCAAGGCAGGTTGGCGTTTCAGTTCTAGAGTGCAGTGTTATAATTACTGGGTCAACCCCCAGTAAACTGGAGAAACCTTTAACAATAAAAATTCTCAACCAAACCACCAAAATCTGAAGAATAGATCTCAGACCAGTTCTCACCTGCAGTCTCGCAAGCACCGCGTCAACCAACAGCAAATCGGCGAAGCTTGCTACATTCATAATGGACGTAGCGGTGCCAGATGCTGCAGTTTTCGAGTGGATCTTAGCTACTAGAGAAGAGATGACGAGGCCTGCGACGCGCAAGTCATGCTGCAGCGACGAAGTGACATTCGTCACAGACTTAAGCAGAGCGTCTGCCTTCTGGGTTGTCAAACTCTGACGTACAAGACCATCCTAGGGTTAGAAAGGAAACATTATGACGGTGAATTCTGTTTAACATACATTTTAGGACGAAGATATTCGGCTGACTTGATACATACTTCAATACATACTTCAATCTCAAACAATTCACAAAGAAGTAAAAACAAACAATTTTTTGACAGTCAGCAGCCAACATATATTCCAAGTAAGCGTTCTAACTATAACTTTATTTATTTTAATTTTGGCCACAATTACCTTGATCCAGCCATTGAAAACTTTATGAGAAGCCCTAGGCCCCCAAATAAGAGCATGCAGGAGCCAAGGTCCCTCGAGCTTAGTGTCGGGACTCGCAAGAGCCTCTAGTGCAGCAACCGAGGGTGGCAGTGTCAACAGTATGCGGTACACGAAGGAGAACGTATACTGGACAGCACAGTGTCCGAGGTAACTTAGATTGTTGTCATTAGACTGAACACGTGCAGAAGCCGCGGCGCAATCAGTCGAAACGGACCGCAGGACTTCAGTGCCCGGCCTGGCAGTGGCGGGGGTGGTGGTGGCGTCACTTGCGGCACACTGCTTGATGACGTCTGAAGATGCCGAGCGCGTTATATCGCTCGAGTGAGATGAAGACGCACGGAAGCTTGGGTCCACTTGGCAACTCACACCCAGCAGGCCAACAAGGGTTTCGTACAAAGTGGTGTACTTCAGGGTGTCCGGTGTAGCCAAAATGAAACTGCATGCCTATTGAAACGTAGAAAAATAGACTAACATTTTCCCATGAATGCAATACACTAGTAAAAGACTTCCAAAATTGTAAAACCTTCCAACCGCCAACACTTCAATAAAACTTCAATGACGTAATAGGAAGAGAGCTCAGTTATTGTTCCATTTTATTTCTGGAAGATAGAGCGGAATTTTAATATTTAATTTCACTCAATAGGCACAAAGGAACTTACAAGTCCGTCCAGCTTGGGAGTGTCCTGAGAATTGGTGTCAACAGGAGTGAGAGTGTAGAACTTGGGCTTCAAGGTAGGGGCGCAGGATGGGCCGGTCTCGTCGGCCTGGTGATGCTTCTGGTAATTATCTTCAATGTCACGCCACACGTGGTACATCTTGGCATTGCCAGCGCTGTCGCCTGAGTAGAAACAAAAATAAAGACTTCATACATCTGCTCTGAATGAACAATATATAATGACTGGAATTTACGATACGTACCATTGCATGATATAGGTACAAGAATTTCGAGGTTACACTTTCTATTGGAGCAAGAAGCAAGGACTGTAAAGTTTCAGTGGGTCTACTTGAAATCTTCAAAACTTAAAGATTCGCAACTTACCAGCCGTACTGGGACCACAATTCAAGTTGTTTGAAGAAGCTCCACTGTTGTCCACTCTCACTACATCGCGAGATATTGGACTGAAGAGGTTCCATTGGACCTGTAAGGTGACAACATTGTTCCATTTAGGAACATTCACGCGGATTGTGAATAAGAATTGTCGGCTGACACACAAAATTAAACATGGGTCTTTCGGGTAAAATCGGAAGAAATAATATAACAAAACCACAAAGATTACCTATAAGCACATAACATACCTGTTCGATAAGCGTCTGAGGTGCCTCATACAAATTCTTCATGAGGTACTCAAAGATGAGGAGTAGCCTGGATAAATGAAGTAGCTGGGAGTCCCTCATGGGCGTCTTGACGACAGGGGCGACTGTGATGAGAGCGCTGGCCACGCTCAGTAACACAGCTTTCTTCTGCATCAACTGGAGTGCGTGGAACAGGAAGAGCAGGAGCTGTGCGTGCTCTACGTTTAGGTCTGCAAACGATTTTACGTATTATTCAACTAAGTGATAATAAGTTGCATATAAGATAACCTAATAAATCAGAATCAGAATAGAGACACAATGCTGAGATATTGATGATAGTTCGAGGACGTGTGACTGACCATCGACTTCATGGTCTGGATGAGGGGCGGGGCAGGTGACGGCCTTGACGAGCGTAGCGACGACGCGCTGCCAGATGACGACGCAGGCCGTGTCACAGTCGCACTTCAGGTCGTCTTTGTCACGACGTTGGCGTAGCAGCAAAACCTTCACAAAGAGTGGAAATAAACTTCGCGTTTTAAATACGGCAAGGGGAGTTGAGGAATACTGAGCGCGGGAAAGATGCGGCAACCAGTAGATAGTTAGGATAATATCGGAGCAACGCTCACAAATTCTTTGTTTAGAACATCAAAATAATGCATATGAATAAAGACTATCTCGATTCATGGTAAAAAATGGCAGCTCTCGAGATTGGCCTCCAAAATTTTTGCAAATAAAACAGACATATCACAAGATAGTGAAATACAAATTTTTTAATTAGTTCAATGCCAAACAGAGGACTAAGAATTCAGTTAAGTACCTGAGCGAGGACTGTGAGCGTCCTGGGCAGCAGCAAGAGCGGCCAGTCACCGTCAGAGATCCAGGGGGAGACCCCAAGTTGATGCAACAGCGTGGCCTGCAGAGCATCACTGAGCGCCCCCGAGGCGATGAGGTTATGAGTGAAGCGATAGAGTGACTGCGAGAATTGCTCATACAGCTTCTGCACTACTGCTCCTCCACTGCTGCCAAGCTCTGATGACAACAAAATATATAGGTAGTACGCTTTCTTATCTTTACTGAGTCTTATTTCTATAACAAGATACAAAAAATGATTCTGTTAAAATGAGTGTGGAATTTTTAATAATTTCAATGAACAGAATGTTCAGGTCTTGAAATAAAAGCTTTTAACCTGCGTCAGTTTTGGCAGTGTCGCGGTCTAAGTCTTTGATGATGGCAGCAAGCACAATCATGTGCGTGTCGGCGAGGCCTGTGCGCACATACTGCTGGACATACGCGCAGTCACACTCCACCAGGTGCCGGTTCATCAGACCGAAAATGAGCGTTGCTAGGTTCAGGAACTGTCGAACCAGAGAGAAAAGCATAAACATCTTGATAAGCAATAGCGTTTAAAAGAAATGAAAGTCAGCAAAACGTATCATAATGTTAACTATAGAACAAAATAATAGATGCCACCTCTTGGTGTAAACAACGCTAAAAAATATTTCTGTAAAATTCAGCCAGAAAAAAAAGAGCACAGAGAATACGAGTAATGAAAATTACTACTAAATCACAGGAAAGTCACTACAGAGGTAGCTGGTAACCTACCCCATGGGGCTCGGACTTGTCAGGGATGACAGGAGGTCCTGAGGCGTCGAGGACGCGGGAACTTCTGCTGTTCAGGGGGGCGCCGCCACCGGACGAGCAGCTCTCGCTCTCTGATATCGACTGCGGTTGACTGGAACCTGCACGTCGCGATGTCACGGGTGAGTTACAGCTAAAAATTGTGGATTATAGCTAACAAATCAACAGAAAGTGATAGCTGACAATGCAACAGTGAGAGATAGACAACAAGATAATAGTGGCTGAAAGCTAACAATTTAACAGAGGCTGAAAGCTATTAACTACCGTGAACACCGCATTGAGACTAATGACGTATGAGAAGAATGAACAACTTTATATCTCAATGCGCTCATCAACAACCATTTAGCCCTAACATTGGTTTACTAGCCACAAACGTTACTGATGTCACTCACTAATATGAAAATGCAATTAAATTTAGTTCATTCTGAGGTCATAATTGCATGCACTTTAGATCGAGCTATCTCTCGCCGACACTTATACTGAAATAAAGTTTATCTCAACTCACCACCACCATGTGTGGAGGCGCTCACGCCCCAGGCTGGACGAGGTCGTCCTCCCACAGAACCGCGTCGTGGGCCGCCGCTGCCTCCTCGCTGGCCCCCCTCCTCTGCCCCTGGCGTGCACGGCTCCTCGAACCATGACCCGATGATCACCGAATCGTCGTCTGAACAAATTTAGGCAAATCGTTCAACACGTTCATGATTATTACTTTATATTATTATTACTATTATTACATCCTTATTACTATTAAATTTATAATTAAAAAGGCATCCGAATATTATCTGCAACTGACAATATAATTAAAAACATAAATTAACGCTTCTATGGCCATCATGCGTGGCAATATTTAATGTACACAACTTTGGGAAACATAATGATGCGTCCCAACATTAAAAGATCAATCAAAATAGAAATTGTTTCCAGTGCTTCAAGGTTGATACTAGACTAAATTAAAAGTACCGAGATATTCTCTGAGAGTTTTTCAAGTAGAAGGAATTTAGCTAACCTTCTTCTCCAAGACTGCCCTCAGAGAAGTCGTCTTCGTAGTAGATGGTGCTGTCGGTGAGACTGTACGTGTCACCCTCGTGCATGCTGCGCTGGCTGCGCCGCAAGCTACAAGCCTGCAGCCAATAAAATGTACCAATATTTAAATATCTAGTATAATAAAAAGTACTTCATTAGAACTAATAAACAGTGAAGCCAAAATGAATCTTATATTTATTTAGCAAAGCATTACATAGCATTACTCATTGAGCAAAGTTTCCTATGGTGTTTGAAGCCTGAGGGCTGATATATCTAGGGGCAGTTCGAGCCCGTATCTAAGGTACACATCAATTCGGGATTGGAAAATTTATTCTTAACCAGAGAATAGAAAGGTACTGCAAAACTGGAATAAAAGAATTGAACCAAGAATCAAAATTTTAATTTGGTCACAAAAGTCAAATGGGAGTAATAAGTTCCACATAAAACGAGTTTGTATAGGCCTTTCTCTAATTAGCATACATTAATTTATTTCTTATTAATGAGATTCATGATGATGGGATTCAAAACGTGTAGGGATTTACCGGTGCGGCCAATTCTAAGCAAACCTACTAGTAGTAAATAAAGTGTCCAAATGATAGCTACATATCAACAGATTAAAGACAATTCATCTACTAGATCGATAATTAACGAAAGTAGATCTGACAGTAAGATGCATTTATGCCTTCTAGTTACTGAATAACATTTTCATATTATATAAATGAACACTGATGGTAGCCCATAACAATACGAGGACACGTCTATGATAACAATTGATCTTATTTTCTGCTGTTACGACCACATAATTATTTGGCCAGCATCAGTTCTAGCTTGGCTAAAACGCTTCTGAAGAGATTAAAATAGTTCAAATAAGACCGGCGATTACATAAGCTGCTTTGGTTTTGTATTGGTGAGTATTCGTTCCATACACACCTTCCTGTACGACACAGTGGCGAGGTAGAAGAGCAGCTGGTTGAGAGGCACGGCGTTGAAGATCCTAGCGATGCGGTTGGTGGCAGAGAATGTCTCCAGGACGCTCATCTTGGCAGGCGTGGGAGTGGGTTTGTTAGCATTCCAGCCCTCGACGGCCACGTCCTCCAGCAGCAGAGAAAGAAGTTCACAGCACAGCTGCGCGAGGGCAACCACCACCGAACTGACGCCCTGCTGACTAAACGGGGCAATATGTCTTGAGCTCTATACGGTAACCAGGTGTTCATGTCCACAACTAATAGAACTGATGGTAAAAATGCCAGTTATAAGAATCAGCAGACAGAACTGTTTTCTTGAGATGCAATACCCGACCTCCGCTTTACTAACAAAAAGCTACAGTTATCAATAATCGACGAAAATTAGCAGTGTTCTGGTAGGTATGAAAGACATCTGAAGAAACAACTTACACTTTATTTAGGTTAATTCTGGAAACAACATCTTTCTTTGTTGGACTTTTGCCCTTGTCTTCTTTGGTATTCTTGTCAGTGAAGGTGGCTGGTGAAGGACCACTACCGCCTGCAGCAGCAGCAGCAGCTGCAGGAGCAGGCGAGACGGCAGAGACGATCACCATAAGCTGGTGTAGTCCAGACGACAGCAGCCAACCGCCCATGAGTTGCAGGTTTTGGTGGTGCTGTAACAATACAATAAATCCCATAACAATCGCACACTGTGTGACTTGCGTTATTGCTGTTTTAGATAACGGCTAACAACTACGTACTGCTTAGGGTTATTTTGTATACACCATTTATTGAACGATCTGCACACTAATGTATCACCTTATCATTAACTTTTTACTGGTCCAATAATAATGTAAGAAAATGAATTAACAGTTTTCCTGCGGACTGCTTACATGTCCACCAGCCCTGGTGGAGGTCTTCACAGCGCGCAGCACCACCGAGTAGATGAGCAAAGCTTTCTCCGTCACGCTCGTGGACAGCGAATCAAGCTCATCGTCACGTGCGCTCGCGGGTGGAGTCTGTACAGTCAATTTGAAAACCCATCATCATCCAGAAAATAGTAAATAATTCCCGCGGAAAGTAAAAATGCTTTCATAAATAAATTCATCTCATGACAATGTCGTCCAAAATAATTTCTAAACCAGAAAGCTGAAGATGAAATTCTTTAAAATCTTTTGTGCTGGATTGGTGTACGTATTTATACCACAATTGAGCAAATTTCTAACCAAAAACAATACTAAGACAGCCTGATAAACACCTAGGATTTCAGTTCATTAAGATAAAATGATTTCATCACATTTATGAATCAGTTAGTTCCGATGAACTAGGTTGTATCGATACCTCTTAACAAGAGCAACCAAGACATGAGATCTCGTCACCTTGCTGGAAGTCGCTGATGCAGTGGTGGCAGGCGCTGAGGTGACGGCGGTGACAGCAGACGCGACCGCGACGTGGAGAGCTGCGAGCAGAGCTGCCATGCTGATAGAGGCAAGCTTCTGCAGGCGCTCAGCTGTCAAAGGTTCTAGTACTGGCAGCTGCAGTATGCGTGACACGATGCTCAGCTCCGACACTACCTGTGCCAAACTGCACGAAGAGTTGAGTGTGAGGTACGAGTAGCCAGACAATTGACAGTTGCACACAGCAATCCGATAATATCCAGCAACTATATATAGAACAAGTTAGGGGACCTAGTAATATATAGCTGAAATTTTTAATGGAAAGGTTTTTTTTTGCAGCTCAAATCAGCATGGGTTATTTTTAGAGGTTTGCACTATCTGTGTCCAGACAAGACTTTGTTGTCTTGAAGGCATATCAGTGGTTGGATTCTACATGTAAAAAACGAATTAAAAAACTCATAATGTTTTACTTTAATTAAATGTAACAATGGTTAACAAACGTATTGTAATCGTGTATTGCGGCAAGTTGCTGTTCAGTACAAGCGTACCACAAGGTACGTACTTACATACAGTAACACAAGCCACTGGCTGATACAGCTTTCAAACAGAAATGAAAATCAACTAAATAGCATTCAAACCAGTGTTGTATACAACATGGAATGCTCTTAAGGGTCATCATTGAGACACGTGCATCAGTTTGGGAACCAGGGGATCACTGAAAAAAAAATTCATGAAACACAAAATAAGATAATTTCAGCTGATGACAAGTTAGTCTCGCTGGTTAGCGCCTGTAAACAGTTATACGGCCACTAAAAAGATTGTGAACTTACCCAGGTTTGAATGCAAGCACTTCATGTTGATTAGAAGGGAAGGAGAAGCCTTTGCCCTCCAACAGTTCCTTGTACTTGGTGTTGTATTTGCTGATGCTGGACATCTTGAGGCACACGTCAAGCAGCGTAGCACCGCCACCAATGCTCTGCAGTGCTGCCTCACAGCGACTTGCAAACAAATGCTGCACAGGCGAGAAAGTTGACTCAACATTCAATGTTTCCTAACATTGAACAACAGGATATCCTATGACAATTACACGAGATATTTCCATAAAATATTTCCAAATAACATTAGAACACAAAAATTTCGGATTGGCATTAGTATTGGCTTCGGAAAAATTCGGATTGGCTTCGGAAGAAGCCAACATATATTGATCGATTGACCCAGAACACGTTTGAAAAATTGTATAAAAAATGAAGTGCACACATAGAAATAAATTGCACCAACCGCAACGTCTGAAAGACGACCAGCACCATCCTTGTCAGTTGAGAGACCTCCTCCAGGCCTCGTCTTTCCTGCCGCGTCACTTCCAAAGTCATGCAGGGGCAAGATGAGCTGTTCAAGAACAGCAGCACTTGGGTCATTGCGGTTGCGGCGACCATCCTTGATGCCACCGCTGCTGCTGCCAGCACTGCCACTGCCTGCACCACACGATGCGTCCTTGTCGTGAGAGTGAGTGCGTACGCACGGCGGCAGCTTAGCTGAGCGTATCACAGATATAAGCGAGGACTGATCTGCACGGCTGAGGCAGCCACTGCCACGACACAGAGCCTTCATAGCCAGCACCAACTGCTTGTCCGTGATCGAGACCACCTTCTCCCGGTCATCCCTGAAAATTTATTATAATAGCAATCTTTTTAACCATGGTTAATAGCAATCGTTTTTAACCCCGGTCAATAGCTCTTGATTAGGGTTAACATACTGTGCTACAACTAACTGTACTGTTAAGAAGAAAGTGATTTCGAGATTATGTGAGCAAAATAATTAGGTATTAGCATTGTATATTGAAATATTTCCTGGTTGCAGTCGAGGGCAAATGCCTATGGACGTATTTTGTGATTTGGATGGACAAGTGATTAAAAACTCAAAAGATGCATGAACTTTAAAAACAATAAATTGAACATTGCTCCCAATAGCCAATTTCCATTCATGAAAAGTTATGAAGGAACAACTAGCATTGCTGATCCAAGTCCTAATCCAAATTATGCTAATCAAACGTGCATACTTAATTCTTTCAATTACTTACTTGTTGACAGGAGTAACAATGTTGACAGCACCAGAACTACTGCTTGTGGTGCTGATGGTGATGGGAGCAACACCAGACCCTGAAGTAGCTGCAGGGGTTGTGACTGCAATGCTACCAATGATTTGGGGAACATTGTCACTGTGACTGTCCGAGTCACTTTGGTCAGCATCAGCTACAGGAGCTACAACAGGAGTCACACTTGATAGGATATTGATGGAGGATGGGGATAGAACGCTAGTAGAAATTACTGGGGCTGAAGAGCCTTGAACATGTTTCCCAGATGATGCAGTTGTGGGTGCAACAGAATGGGTTGATATGTGCGAGTGGGAATGATTGTGGCTGATAGCAGCAGGGATGGTAACAGTCAGTGGGGGAGAGCCCACTCGGCTCACGAGGTGCTGCAGCAACACCTTGCATGCGCTGACGCTGTGCACCACACCTCCCACGGACACTGTACACAAGGAGAAAATTTTAGCTATGGTAATATTTGAATGCTCCCTGAAAACACTAGAGACAAAAATTTTTCAGGACATCTCTCCAGCACTATTTCAATAATGATACAGTTGAATGATACAGTTTAAAATTATTTTACACACTTTTTTCAGTGACCATGCCAGCTGAATATAAATTGCAAATCCCAAGCTTGGAAAAAACAGGGTTCAAAATTTTCATATGCAAAGATAACATAGAACTCATGAAACTTATAACCAAAATCAAGAAATTCTAATCAATTTTCACTTCCATATCCTCTAGGAAACGTCTTGATTAAGTAGAGAAACTTTGTCAATGCAAATTTCAACTTACAATATTGGGCATGTGTGGCAAGGTAGTCAGCAGCCAGGATGCAGAAGGCGCTGTAGAATGCTTCATACTGATCCTCATGCTGTCCAATATCCTCTTTGCTGCACAAACAACAAATGTGATACAGTAAGAAAGCAAAATTATTCAGTTTACAGATTATTCTCCAAAACGCAGTGCATTCAATCATGCTAAGGAATTGTTACCAGTTTCAATAACGAACCTGGAGCTGAAGGAAAAAAAACACAGTTTCTAACCGTTTCAAAAACACACACCACATCTCCACTAGAGAACACACACACCACATCACCAGAGAGCACACACCACCACATCTCCACCAGAGAGCACACCCCACCACATCCCACATCTCCACCAGAGAGCACACACACCACATCTCTTGAATACTGCTGTCAGCTTTAGGCACCGCTCAAGGCGGGTGCAGTGCGGCAACTAGAGACAGTGCAGCAGACCTTCACATACAAGATCAGTGCCATGAGGTAGCTGACCTGAACTACTGGGAAAGGCCAAAACACCTGGGACTGTACTCACTGGATAGTACACTTCAAACCCACCTTCTTCAGGTTGCTTTTAATTTCACCACGAGTAACAAACAGTTTCTTCTGTACCTTTCTGCTAATCTATCTTGAATTATTGTCTGTTAGTTTCCTTGGACGACCAGGTCTTGGAAGGTTAGCAACAGCATGCTCGGATGATATCATCAGGATGATTGCTTCCAGATGATATTTCCAAGTGTACTTAATGATAGATCAGTCTCCTTGGATATTATTCAAGGTTAATTACTTTTCATTGTATGTTGCCCGGTGCATAATTTTATCGATGACATTCCATGCACAATTTTGTGATGCCCAATTATGCATTAATTTTTTATCAAGTGAAATTTTTTCACTGAGCAAGGTAGATGTAATCAAAATTCTTTGTTAATAATCTTTTTTTTTTAACTGGAGCCTTAGCCAACTGAGGTTCTACTATAAATGCCCTATTAGAGGTGTCCCATATTACCCAAGGGGGTGTCCCTTCTTACCCCCATCATTCAAAAAAGCCTGTCATTTTGTTTTGGATTGAGGTACAAAAATTCTGTAAATGAAGTTTTGAAGCTGACACCTGTCTGTATCAGCAACTTTTTTTCAAGTAAAATTTTTTAGTGTGAAATTTATTATTTTATGTTGCCATTCAACATTTTTTTCAGTGATTTTTTAGAGCTAGTAAATGTACAATTTCTTAACTTCCTTTATGCTACATATAGCTAGGAAAAATGTTGGTCCCTTACTATTCCCTGTTTGATGGTACTCCAATCAGAAATCCTGCATCATATTATTAGTCCATACAGAGCTGCTCTGTGAAATTTTAGAAAGACTCATTTTCACAGCAGCTCAATGCCTAGCCACAACCCACGGTGCAGAGGGTGCAAGCAGCATTGCCAATCTATGGATATTTAGCCCAAAGCCTTGCCAGCCATTTTCAAGATGCATCACCAGGTAATTTTTAATAAGAAAAAGCTGCTGCTAACAACTTTGATAGTATATCCCATACTCTCCACACACTGCAACACGTATAACTAAACATATATACTTCAGCAGCTATCTGGCAGCCAGACGTGTGGTGCCACTACTGAGAGCGCGGCAAAGTAGAGCAAGGCTTGACACGATTCTGCCACCCAGACTGCCAATAGATGGTGCTGTGCTCATATCAACAAAGCTATTGTGAATCCTATGTCCTAGCAACTGTTGCTTAGTACTAGAATTATTATAGTACTTGTTATTTACCATATTTGTTGCTTACAGTCTTTCAGATTTTCAACTATTTTCTAGCTAGTTAGCTGACACTGACAACTGGCAGTCTTGCAAATATCTGGAATGCAATAATTTAAATCCAAATGTGGCGGCAAGATCTTCTGAAGGCGTAAATTTTTGATGCGTTGCCAAAGATCTTCCATATTCACCCTCTTTCTGCACCCTGGTTTCCATGCACTGCAACACTTACTCTTTGGAACAGATTTACGGACAAGCTTCACTGCATCCTGATCCATCCAACGTACTGGAAATTTTACTGTGGGCACTTGCGGTCTTTCAGATTTTCAACTATTTTCTAAATAGTTGGTCAAAGGCTAGCGAATATCTAAAATGCAATTATTTCAATTAAAATGTGTCAGCAAGATCTTCTGAAGGCGTAAATTTTGCTGCTGATGCGTCACCAAAGGGCAAAGATCTTGCAATATTTACCTTTCTGCACCCTGGGCCACAACTAGCATTTTATCCACAACTTAGCTTACTTTGCAGTTTGTGGCTTGAAAGAATGAAAGTTATTTGGTATAAAAGAAAAATAATTACTAAACTCTTTTCTAATTACTTCTTCATCTAGAAAATAATAAAACTTGCATCTTTAAAATCAGCACTGACCAGTGAGGCAGTGACTAGTACACAGCAGCAGCTCTTGGAAGTTGGAAAAGAAATCAATTTCTGGTTGATAGCATTTCAAGTCTCAAGACTTTCAAGCCTCATTAATGTATCATAAATTACTTGGCATTGTAGCATTTAAGGACCTAGATTGGAATTTTCTGATTGTTCATCCATAATCATCTGTTCATCCTTTATTACAAACTAACAAAGGTTTAAATTTCAATTTAAGAGCAGTAACTAAATAGGTACTACCGTAAAATGGGGTTACTTCGACCGGCAGGGTAACTTAGACCACTTTTCGTTTTTTTAACAAAAACCCCCAAAACTCAAAAACAATTTGACATAGAAAAATTTTGTCAATGGCCATCAAAGGCCTATTGACATGATGATGATGATCAGTATTTAATATTATTATTATTAATATTCACTAATATTTATAATAATTAGTTATGAATTAATATTAATAAAACTTAATAATATTATTATTACTAGTAAATTTTATTTGCGTATTCTATTCAATTTCATATTTTTAAGCTTAATTATGGTGCCAAGACCATGAAACTGAAATTTATTCCATCCAATTCTGCCTTTAAGTTAAGTTATAGCATTCATATCTAGCAGTTGCACCCATTTCCCCCACCCACCTGCAGTCAGTCTCAACCAAAATGTTTTATTCTAGTTAGAATAGATAGTCTACAACATGAGCTTTCCAATGGTACTAAAAACTTTGAAATTGGCTCATAGGAAACCTACAAATGATAGTTTTTCCAAAAAAAGTGACAGAAGTTGGTCCATTTTTGGGGTGAAATTGAAAAAAGGAAAAAATTCATATCTTTTTCATTTTTCGACCAACTTCACTCATACTTATATGATATTTTTCTAAATTTTTTTCTCTTTTCAGTGGTGTAATTTTCATTACGATCAAAGGAAAAAAATTTTTTTGTGCACATACCTACTATAAGAAGTTTATTTTTTTGCCTCAAATAATGTTGTATCAAAAAACTGGTCTAGGTGTAGCAAAAATAATATATGAACTGTAAATTTTAGAATTCCATCCTGCTTGACAGCGTAGTCACGGTAGATGTAATTACTTTATTAAGTTTACTTCTTTGCAGTCATATTAAGAGACAAATCTTTAACGAACTAATACTTTGTATAATTTTAATTGTTGAGTGAAAGCTGTGCCTGCAGCCTTGCTGGCACGCAATATTTCCAAGTGATGAAGTGAATTACCTTATAGAAACTTAGCATACCCATACGTGTTTTAAGCCTAGAAGAAGTTCATTTTTTTGCCTCAAATAATGTTGTATCAAAAAACTGGTGTAGGTGTATCGGGAATAATATATGAACCGTCAATATTAGAATTCCATCCTGGCCTTGCTTACCCCATCTGACTATATAGCATTTAAGGACCTAGATTGGAATTTTCTGATTGTTCATCAATAAATTCATAATCATCTCATTCATCTGAATCTGATCATCCTTTATTACAAAGGTTCAAATTCCAATTGAAGAGCAGCCTAAATAGGTACCAACTTATTATGTAAAATTGTAAGCCAATGACTAGGTAGGTAACTTAGGTTAAGAAATAAGGGTGTGACTGAGTAAATGCAATATCATTCAACTTCAAGTACTCTTTTTGATAATTCCACACACAAATTCATTTGTTATTGACTCATCGTATTGTCCCTATTTCCTATTCACCATCTTAGGTGCAGCATTTAGGAATCTTCAAAGTTTAAACATCAACAGATCACTTGACAACAAACTGAAGAATTGACATTTGACAGTATATCTTATTTTTCAGTAGTACTAATTAACTTAGTTGATGAAGCAATTGCGCAACATTTTACAGATTAATAAACTAAAATGTCATCGCATGACGTAACAGTTTTCCTAGGTCTACAAACTTTGATCGTTGTTATACTTCATAATATTAATAGAATAAAATGTCATTGCATGACGTAACAATTTCACTACAAACTTTGATCATTCTTATAATTCATAAGTAACTGCAGCAATTGTGCTTACCATTTAAGAATAGCTTTAACAAGTTCCGGTAGATCTTGTTTGTTGAAAGATGCATCAGAAACCGGCCAAAATGATATTATCGGCTTCACTAATTGCGACCAATCGACGCTACCTCTGCTCGCCGCCATTGTAAGCAGAGTAATCGAAACGGAGTTACGAACTTACGATACGAGTTTTGACGGGGTTTACTTTCTTCGTTTTAAGAAAGCCGGATTCAAATTTAATTTTTTATCTCTTTATGAGATTATAAAAATGTTGCGTTGTAAAAATTGTTGCCTAATATAAATCTAAAAACGTCCCAGGAAACATTGGTGAAATTTATTTACTATGTACCACTTGAAGAACTCGTATTTCGGTTTAAGAATTTAATAGAGGGGACAGGAAATTCAGGAATTTTCAAATTTTAGTAATCCTTCGGGGACCTTGTATAGACCATGAGTATACTTGTATACTTCACTGAGGTCCCCACGCAGACGTCGATAACTGAGGCTTAGAAGCTTCATAATCGTAATCTTTCTTCATAGGACTTGCCCTTCAAGCCTGGAATTATCCTTATTGCACGTCTTCGAACATTCTCTATTAAATTTCTGTCCTTTTCAAATATCGGTGACCGCACAACGTTTCCAAACTCTAGATTCGGGTCGTCGACGGCAACAAACAACTGCTTCATCGCTTCTGCATCTAGGAACTTGTATGAGCGTCTGATAACGCTTACAGAATTAGAGAACAGCTGCGGACAATTCTTCTTTCCTATATCTATGAGGATGGATACAGAAAAGAATTGGATGGTATTTGTTTAATCATGAAGAAAGAGATCGAAAATCAGTACATACCACTAATATTTCCATTCATCGAATGATACAACTTAGGGTCAAAGGTGCCCACTGTATAACAATCACATTATAGTAAACCCAAAAGTACTATTGTAACGGTTATATCAAACTGATCTCAAGCGGTGGACCCGCAGACTATGTTTTTTGTCCTTTTTTATGATAGACTATCACTATTCTAAGACTATCAGTCTATCACACACTAAGCACCAACACCAGGGGCCACGGCGGGGCGCATACCGGAGGCCAACTTTTCCAAACGTCAGACTTAGTTCATATTTCGTTCCGTAGGTAAGAACGCTAGAGGGCATAACAGCCTATGAAGTCAAGTGCTCTAAGCCATAACGTTGAATGTCCTCAACCACAAATAAACTTGCCAAAGGTAAGCATGACCATACTGCATCTGGCCAAATCTCTTCCAGACTAACCACTTCAGGCCTAACCTACACATGTTGCAACATTTCCCCACCCGAAATGTACCTGAGTGGACCTAACCTAACCTCATTGGCTGCAGGAAGTTATAAAGGCGGTCCAAGCGTGCTGGCAGAGCCAGTCATTGGCTGCAAGATGGTTGTGAGCCGGGACAGCGTGAATAGGTTTGGCCAGAAGAGGTTAGGCCGGAGTAGGTGCAGCCGGATGAGGAACTGCCTGCTTATGAGCGAGCATGCTTAAGCATTGGCTGAAGACCTACAGTGCTATTATCTTTCAGCAGTGTTTCGCTTGTCTGGATTACAGAGTTCAAGCGTAGTCTGCGGCTTATAGCTCTGAGGCTGAATAAAGTTAATGCATGATGAAGCTGGGGAGTTGGCTCCAGAGCTTATTTAAGAGTAAAATTTGTGGCCTACGGCTGCTCCCCCGGCCACGTCTATAAACTAAAAAATATAACTCAGTATTCACTGCAGTGAGCAACAGAGTGGGCATTTTCTCGTCGACCGAAAACGTGAAGTCACGGACGGACAGACAGAGGACAGACAGACGGACGGACAGACGGACATGGCGAGCACAATAGAGCATTTTTTTCATAAATGGGAAAATGCGCCAAAAACTGCGCTGCAACTTCTCCACGCGACAACATTTCTTCTCGCTTCGAATCACCGACATGTGGAACAGCCTCCCCGATGACATCGTTGGCGCTCCAAGTATGAACGCGTTCAAGAACAGACTAGATAAAGC